CTTGATGTGTAACTTACAGAAACAAGTCAAGTCTCGAAAATTACAGCAGAATATGGGTGACGAGAGCACAGATAAAATTCCTCTCTAGACTGCACGTGTGAATTAACCTTTCTAAGAGGAATTGCAAAAGCAACTCCTCCAACGCACATGTGAATACATACCTGGTTTGTTGCAGCGGTAACAAATGTAACCAGGATGTGGGACCGCATTGCGCTGTTGAAAGGGAAAGCTTTTGAGCCGACGAAAAAGTCAATCTCAAAGGCAGCTCCTCCAACGCACATGTGAATACATACCTGGTTTGTTGCAGCGGTAACAAATGTAACCAGGATGTGGGACCGCATTGCGCTGTTGAAAGGGAAAACGCCCTGAAAATGCACACCATCGCATGTACACAATGACATGCACAAAGTCACATGCGCACAGTCACATGAACAAAATTACATTTACACAGTCACGCAGACTAGTATGAGAAAGACATGGGTCCCAATTGGAATGAAGGTTCCCACTACATGCAGGTACCTTCATATTCTTCCTTCTATTATTCCATATATGCATAATATCAAATCAAACCTAAATCTGCCAGACCGATATGATATTTAGCTGCGCAAGAGGGTTTAATAACAGCGGTAGCTAGATTGTGACAAGCAGGTTGAATTGTGGAATAAAACGCACTGTACATGACACGTACCACCACCGCCTCCCCTGCCGTAGAATCCCCCTCGACCATAGCCACGCCCCCCAAATTGATCCGGAGGCCTGCAGCATGCAGGAACAGGGAGGAAGGCAGGAAAGTGTTGGGTTGAACATTCGATTGACTCACTAGCACAAACATACCACCGCCACCCCCTCCCCAACCGTTAAATCCTCCTCGGCCATAGCCACGCCCCCCAAATTGATCCGGAGGCCTGCAGCATGGAGGAGAAAAGAGGGAGGAAGGAAAGAAACCATTGGTTTTTACTCAGAATCCGGCGGGCAGGCAGGCAGGCAGCTAATATGTGCAAGTATGTGCTGGCCTGATCCACAATGGCGGACATCATGCGCGTCTCCCCACCCACCTGCTCAATTCCTCGGAATCCTCACGAACACCTGAACACTCCTCGCATCCTCAAGACCAGCAGCTCACCTCTGCCAGTCCGTGGAGGCCTGGTCCACAATGGCGGACATCATACGCGTCTCCTCATCCACCTACCCCCGTGCTTCCCATGCCCAACACGCCTCCCATGTCCCCCATTCCCCACATAACCCCGTGCCCTCACTCACCTCTGCCAGTCCGTGCTGGCCTGATCGACAATGGCAGACATCATGCGCGTCTCCCCACCCACCTGCTCAATACCTTGGAATTCTCACGAACACCCGAACTCCTCACATCCTCAAGACCAGCAGCTCACCTCTGCCAGTCCGTGCTGGCCTGATCCACAATGGCAGACATCATGCGCGTCTCCTCATCCACCTGCTCCTGCACACTCGCGCCCACGCCCCCCACGCCCCCCATGGCCCCCATGGCCCCGCCTCCCCCTGTCATCTCCCCTCCTTGCCCCGCTCCTCCCATTCCCCCCATTCCCCCTGCTCCCCCCGCTCCCCCTGCCCCCATTCCGCCCCCTCCCTGTCCTCCTGCGCCGCCCAGCGCTCCCCCTCCTGCTGACGCGCACATAACATTGGTGGCTGGCGCTGCTGACGTGGCAGTGGCGTGGCCGCTGACGTCACCGTAGATGTCTGCCAGATCATCCATCATACCGTCCATGTCATTCTGAAAAGAGAAAAAAAAACAATGGCAAAACACAAGAGCTTAACAAACAAATACAACTGTCATTGTACAGACAAGACAACAGGGCTATTTCACAGAGGCAAGGTCACAGACGCAAGGTCACAGAGGCAAGGTCACACGGAAGAAAGTGGTAACGTTACACGGAAGAAAGTGGTAACGTTACACGGAAGAAAGTGGTAACGTTACACGGAAGAAAGTGGTAACGTCACACGGAAGAATGTGGTAACATCTGAAATCACCCTGAGGCTGAAGTGCATCCTCAAACCACCACCTTGAAGGTTGACCTGCGACTCACCAGCTGCTGGTTGTAGCCCTTGTAGGCCGGGTAAGAGAGCGCCTGCTGCTGCTGTTGTAGATGGGTTTTAAATCGACTCAGTAGTCGACTCACTCATAACAAAACGCTGATGACCTAAAAATAACAATGTAGACGGTATAACCAGAAACTCACCAGCTGCTGGTTGTAGCCCTTGTAGGCCGGGTACGAGGGCGCCTGCTGCTGCTGCTGCTGCTGCTGCTGCTGCTGCTGCTGCTGCTGCTGCTGCTGCTGCTGCTGCTGCTGCTGCACCTGAGGCTGAGCCGCAGCAGCAGATGCACCGGCGCCAACAACAGCACCAGTGCCAGGCCCTGGCGCATGTCCGCTTTGTCTGAAACTGAAAAGCAAGACGTCAATTGCAAGGAAAGAAAGCCTTAAATAACTGTCAGAACTCTTTTTTTTTTTTTTTTTTAATAACTATCAAAAGCGCCAACGCCAAGGTCTGGTGCATTGCATGTCCACTTGGTCTGAAACTGAAGGGCATGTGACCACCACATACTAAGGGCAAGTGAGCACATACTCATCTGGCTGCTGCTGAGGCTGAGGTGCCACACGGGCTCGTGATCTTGGGATTCTCTTGATGATGACGCTGGTGTTGCACGGGACTGGCTGATGACTTTTCAGTCGACTCAAAAGGCAGCTAGATATTGTAGGAGGGTTGTGAGCACATACTCATCTGGCGGCTGCTGAGGCTGAGGCGCCACCCGGGCTCTTGACCTTGGGATCCACCTGATAATGACGCTGGTGTTGCGCGGGACTGACTGCTGGCTTTTAGAAGGACCCACAAGGCAGCTAGAATTTTCAGGAAGGTTGTGAGCACATACTCATCTGGCTGCTGCTGAGGCTGAGGCGCCACCCGGGCTCTTGATCTTGGAATTCTCTTGATGATGACACTTGTGTTGCGCGGGACTGGCTGGTTGTCGTCGCCATACTCTGCAACCCCATGCAGCCAAGCACTAGCATGGATCGATGCGCTAAGAACTGAACTAGTACTAGCTGCATCGCATGGCACTAACGAAAAGGCGAAATATAGGACTAAAAAAAGCAAGGATAATCTACAAGGTATGGTGACCAGCATCATCACCAACGGGCTAAGAATACTACGTTGACGGACCTTACAGAGAAGATTAGCACTGGAGAAAGATATGAAAGCAGGAAGTAAAGCAGCAAGAATCTCAAACAACAAACAAACATGGGAGACTAAAAAGCACGTGGAAACACGGAATCAAGGCGGAAAAAAAGAGGCTGCAGGTGTGGCAAATGCTGATGCGACCATAACGGCAGTGTGAGCAGCAGAAATCGCTCAACCCTGCAAAGGTCACATATGCGTGATGGATCTGACGGTTCCAAGAGACTTCTGTTGGATCTACAACTGTAAACAGATTGTCTGACAAGCCTAACTTTCTCTGGCCCTGTCCAGCTCTGTCTAACTCCATATAGCTCCGTTCGGTCTAGCTCCGTCCAGCTCCGTCTAGCTCCATCAACCTCCATCCGTAGCTCTGAACCCGTGTCGTTTTCGTAACCCGCTGAGCCTGATATAAGCTGGCAGCTTCGTGGTGGTAACTGCAGTGGTCTAACTTATGTGGCGGTCTGCCTGTGAAGGAAGTCTCATCAGGATGTAACCCTAAAGAGTCGTCCAACGTCCAAACCATCACCCTTCCCCCTTCCATTTCTTTCAATAAAAATGAATAACATATGAACAATATGGATCGGCCAGCGGCCAAAACCAAAAGCTGAATTATAATTACCTAGCTAGTGTAGGACACTGCACAGAGGGACCAATCCCGAGAGCCGTTACTATCTCCTACCTTCCTCTGTTTGCGCATCGAAAATCTGGACATCCGAGTCCATTCCAAGCCCCTTATGCTCAATAATTCGGTCCTTAAGATTCGCGACGGAAATAAAATGGCCATCCATGGCCAGCGAATCAAACTCCTTCGCGGATCGAAACTTGAAGTGAATCGACATGGTCGAAGCAGCTGCTGCAGGTCCCAAATTCCGATACTCCTTCCTCTCTTTCCTTCAGCAGAAATGATAACTTCAAAGAAAATAACGAGATATCCTACTAGAACGGAAGCTGAACTCAGATTATTACGTAAAAATCCATGTGCTGGTTGACACACCCGATTTTGACAAACCCAATCGCAGCACGAAACCGTGGAGTGAAGGGGAAGCAAGCTTCCGCTGTTCTCGAGACGAAGTATGATCAGACCAGAGCCACTGGGATATTGTCTGGGATGATCAATGGTGAAAATGAAGGACGGTGGAGATTACATGGATGATGGTTTGTGGAGGATGGTGATGACAATGATGGGAAAGATGGTGAAAGATGGCGTTAGAAGTGACCTCGATGCGAAATCATGACCCTGTCAGCAAACATGCGGAATTACAACGAGCTTACATTATCCGTATGGACTTGGAACATAAACTTAGTATGCAATCTGACGCTGTCTACGCGCCATTCTAATTACGCTGTGATGGGAAAAATACTTTACATTCCACATAATATTTACTCAAAATCAAATAGTGGTTTTTTATTCTGTCTCTGGCTTTTTTGCGAGTGGATTGCAGGTTTGGAGATCTTATTGCAACAATCTAGCACTAATGTATTCACTTAACTGCTTTATCAGAGACGTATATATTGCGTACGAACTGTGTGTTGCGAAGCTGAATTCTCAAATTTGAACCTTCGAGCTTGTCAGGCCTAACCCCTTGAGGTTTTCCCGCCAAATTTTCAGAAAGGCCTTGGGCGTGTCGAACCAGCACAGGTTTCAGAGTGGTTTGTTACGATGCAATAGATTACAATACGGTTGGTTAAGATGAAAGTGTAAAGACGAGGTTACGCACCACGCATACTCAGCCCAGCCCTACGACAACACCGAAGGTCCCAGCAGAGAGCTTCTTCCAAAATGAACAGAATTCAGGTCCGCATAGCATAACGCAGGATGCTAGCATACTCCAAGCCACAGAGCAGAAGTTCATGCTGATTGCAAGTATTTCTCTATTTCCTGTTGATGCGCACGGCCTGGCGTGTAACAACTTTCCGAAAACGGTTGCTACCGGTCTCAGAAGTGTTTCTTAGAAACGAACTTATTCGTGAGTATTTTAGTTGTGGAGTGAGCCGAGCGCCTTGTGATGCGCGTCCACTAACGGACCTATTTCAGATTGAGCAACGTGTACTGCTTGTCAGCAACCCCTGCAGTCGAAGTGCGTCTTCTGTCATAAGAGGGATAGTACTTAGCTTATCTGCACAGTCGCGACTCGCTGCATCGATCTCGCAACTTCGCTTCGCGTGTTCGGCAGTTGCGCAGCCTGTTAAGAGAGTCTCTTCGCTAAGTGCGGGTCCGGAGATGGTGCAGAAAAGGCAGCGAGCAGAGGCAGGACCGAGCAAGCGCAAGTCGCCTCGCTTCGCTGCTGCGGAGAACCCTGTGAAAGAGGATAAGGAAGATCCGACGGCCTCAAATGAGAAGAATAATGAATCTACGGCTGGCGATGAGGCGAATCCGAAGGACCTTTACGCGGTAAGGGTTTCAGCCGAGCCATTCCGTTCGTTTCGTTTTCATCGCATCTCTTCGCTCCACTGAGTACGTTTGATATCGAATTGCAGGTGCTGGGAGTGAGTCGCGACGCGACGCACGCGGAGATTCGCAAGGCGTATCACCGCATGGCGCTTCGGCTGCATCCCGACAAGAACCCGGGCGATGCGGTGAGGAAAGAGAGGAGGTGGTGGGGAAGAGGAGAGAATTCAACCATTCAAATTTTTAACAATCCAACCTCTCAATCGTCCAACTAACCTCAACCCCCCGTGTCTCTCCCAGACGGCCAAGGAACGCTTCCAGGCGCTGCAGCGGGTGTTTGCCGTGTTGGGGGACGCTGAGAGACGGAAGATATACGACGAGACTGGCCTTACTGGCGATGGGGACGGCGAGGATGGCACTGTGAGTGTGGTTGACTGTGATAAGACTTGAATGAGCGTGTGGTGTGGTTGGCAAGGTGATTTGGGGGGTGTGCTGATATACGACGAGGCTGGCTGCAGATGAGGATGGCGAGGATGGCACTGTGAGTGTGGTTGTCAGCAATGAGATTTCATGGGGATGTGAGTAGTTAAAGCAAGGGGATATGTGGGGTCCCATGGGGATGTGAGTAGTTAAAGCATATGTGGGGTATGTTGATGCATGATGAGACAGGTCTGTGGGTGTGCGTGTGCGTGTGCGTGTGTGTGTGTGTGTGTGCGTGTGCGTGTGCGTGTGCGTGTGCGTGTGTGTGTGTGCGTGTGCGTGTGCGTGTGCGTGTGCGTGTGCGTGCGTGCGTGCGTGCGTGCGTGCGTGCGTGCGTGCGTGTGTGTGTGTGTGTGTGTGTGTGCGTGCGTGCGTGCGTGCGTGCGTGCGTGCGTGCGTGCGTGCGTGCGTGCGTGCGTGCGTGCGTGCGTGTGTGTGTGTGTGTGTGTGTGTGTGTGTGTGTGTGTGTGTGTGTGTTGATGTGTAAGCATTCCGTTTGCTGCTAGATTTTCTTTCCGGTGTAGTGTCTTCTTGCATCATCTTTTAGACCAAATTCTGCTTGCAAGTTTATGTGTCTACTTGCATCATCTTTTTGACAGATGCTGATTGTTTCTCAATCTTCTAAATCATCTCTGCCGTGCATACATGGTGTGTTTGTGCTCGCAGGGACTTTCGGGCAACACCGTTGCAGACCTTTACAAGTTCTTCCGAACGATGTATAGAGAGGTGAGAGGGAGGTGCGGGAGGTGAGAGAAGGTGAGAGAGGTGAGAAGAGGTGAGAGGAGGTGAGAAGAGGTGAGAGGAGGTGAGAGGAACTCAGCCGTGCAGTTAGAGAGGGGGAGGTGAGAGGGAGGTGGGGGGAATGCGGCACAGTAGTGGACATTGTAGCATTCGAGCAGCAGTACAGGGAGTCGGAGAAGGGAGACTAAGGAACTGAACCTATATCGTGCTTCTTAGCTTCGCCCTCCTCCCCTATCACTCCTCTGCGCACGTTCAGATCACAGTGGCAAACGGCAGTACAGGGAGCAGAGCAGAAAACCCTTCCCTTCTTCCCGCCCCTTTCCCCCACCCTTCTTTCCACTCAAATCACAATGGCGGACATTGTAGAGTCCAAGCGACAGTACAGGGGTTCGGAGCAGAGCAGGAGAGGTCAAGGAACTGAAGCTGTCTTGATACTCGTGTAAACACCCCCCAACCCCTCCCTGCGTCACAATGGCGGACATCGTAGCATTCGAGCGGCAGTACAGGGGGTCGGAGCAGACCAGGAGAGGCCAAGGAACTCAAAGCTTTTCAATGCTCAAAGTCCTCACTGTTCTCCTGTCCCTTCCCACCCCCACATCACAGTGGCAGACATTGTAGCTTCTGAGAGGCAGTACAGGGGGGCGGAGCAGGAGGCGAAGGAACAGAAGGGGCCCTTTGCGACTTGCTGAAAAGCCCCGCGCTCCTCACCTCCCCACCACGCTATTTCTCCCCCAGATTACAGTGGCTGACATTGTGGCATTTGAGAGGCAGTACAGGGGTTCGGAGGAGGAAAAGGAATTGAAGGCTACAGTGTCACCCCTTCTCTTTCCTCCCCGCACTCCCCCCCCTCAGATCACAGTGGCTGACATTGTGGCGTTCGAGCGGCAGTACAGGGGGTCGGAGCAGGAGGCGAAGGAATTGAAGGAGCTATACGAGCGATTCAAAGGGCGGATGGACATGTGAGTTTGGGGAGAGAGGGGGCGGGTTGGGAAGGGAGGATGGAGATGTGAGTTGGGAGGGGGAAGGAGGCAGTAGAGAGTGCGCGAGGGGGTCGGAACAGGAGGCGAAGGAATTGAAGGAGCTGCATGAGCGATTCAAAGGGCGGATGGACATGTGAGTTGGGGTGGGTGGGAGGGGCGAGATGTGAGTGTTAGTGAGAGGCGGGCAAACATGGAGTGCGAGGGGGTCGGAGCAGGAGGATGAAGATCGCTTCAAGGAGATACCTGGTTTTTGATAATTCTCAAAAACCAGCTCAAGGATAAACCTGATGCTGCAATCAAGTTGGCCCCTTGCCCTCTCCCAATTTCTCCTCTGTCGCCACTCACAGGGAGCTGGAATGTCAAATCTGTGCTCGGCCAGAACTCAAGTCTTACCGCTTCAAGGATATACCTGATTCTGCTATCAAGTTGCCCCCTTACTTTCCTTTCACGATCTGTCCTCTCACTCCCTCTGCTCTCCCTGTCACCACTCGCAGGGTGCTGGAGTGTCAAATCTGTGCGCGGCCGGAGGTTGATTCGCATCGCTTCATGAATATACTCGATGCTGCTATCGAATTGCCCCCTTACTCACTCTTTCTTCCACGCGCTCTGTCCCCTTCCCTCGTGTCTGATTCTCATCTCCCTGTCACCACTCGCAGGGTGCTGGAATGGCAAATCTGTGCGCGCCCAGAGGTTGACTCGCATCGCTTCAAGGATATACCTGATGCTGCTATCGAATTGGCCCCTGACTTTCTCTCTTTCTTCTCACGTGCTCCATCCCCCTTGTTTTTTATTCGTCTCTCTCTGTCACCCCTCGCAGGGTGCTGGAGTGCCAGGTCTGTGCGCGGCCGGAGGTTGACTCGCATCGCTTCAAGGATATACTCGATGCTGCTATCGAATCAGGCGAGCTGAAGGCTACTAAGGCGTACAAGAAATGGGCTGCAGAAGTAGCCAAGAAACCTGCTCCTGCCGACCCTCTTGCTGCAAAGTAAGGAATACATGCACACATGCACGCACACATCCATGCATATACCCCACCCTCCCCCTGCTCCTGCCGACCCCCTTGCTGCAAAGTAAGGAATACATGCACACATGCACGCACACATCCATGCATATACCCCACCCTCCCCCTGCTCCTGCCGACCCCCTTGCTGCAAAGTAAGGAATACATGCACACATGCACGCACACATCCATGCATATACCCCACCCTCCCCCTGCTCCTGCCGACCCCCTTGCTGCAAAGTAAGGAATACATGCACACATGCACGCACACATCCATGCATATACCCCACCCTCCCCCTGCTCCTGCCGACCCCCTTGCTGCAAAGTAAGGAATACATGCACACATGCACGCACACATCCATGCATATACCCCACCCTCCCCCTGCTCCTGCCGACCCCCTTGCTGCAAAGTAAGGAATACATGCACACATGCACGCACACATCCATGCATATACCCCACCCTCCCCCTGCTCCTGCCGACCCCCTTGCTGCGGAGTAAGGATGCTTCTGACTTGTCTCCCTCCTTTTCCTTTTGTTGATGTATGCACTCACACATGCACTCACACATGCACTCACACATGCACTCACACATGCACTCACACATGATATGAACACGCGCATGCACTGCAGACACACACAGGCACTCACCCTGCTCCCTTTGAGTCGACTCAAAAGTCACCACATGCACACACACAGACATGAACACGCGCATGCACTGCACACACACAGGCACTCACCCTTCTCCCTCTTCCCTATTCTTGTATCCATACCTCGATCCCAACCCAACTAGCAGCAAAGATGAGAGCAACCAGGAGCTGATGGCGTTGATTCTCAACCGGCGATCGGTGAGGGCTAAAGCTGCCGATGATCTGTTTGAGTCTCTGGCAGCTAAGTATGGAGGGCAGGGGGGGAAGCGAGGAGGGAAGAGCGGAGGGGGGAAGAGAGGAGGTGGGAAAGCAGGGGGGAAGGGTGGGGGGAGGATGAGGGAAGGGGAGGAGGAAGAGGAGGAAGGGGAAGGTGGAGAGGAGGGAGAGAGAGGGGCAGTGGTCGCTGTTGGGAGAGGCAGGGGCAAAGGGAAGGGAAGAGGGGAGGGAGTGAATGGAAAAGAGGAGTGGAAAGAACCTACCGAAGAGGAGTTCCAAGCAGCGCGTGCACGCATCCTGAAGAAATGAGTTCTTCAGGATTGACCGAGTGTGTCATGTTCTTTGGACTGAAGAGTGAAGTGGAGGAGCTTTATTGTGTCAGCGCTTCAGTAAGCAAAACAACTCTGTGCAGAGTGTGCTTTGAAAAGTTGTCTTACATTTTTTTATAATGCAGGCATGCATAAGCATATGCACACTCCATGGCTCGCTCCTGTAGACACATCTAAAACTACTCGTTTGGGAGCACCACCAGATAGTCCTGTTTCTGAGGGTAATTCCTGATCTTGTGCCAGTAACGGGAGTGACGGGAGCGAAAGTTCTCGTGGCTCGTCGATAATTTTGGGCTGCCCGGCTCCCAGTCCAAGCTGCCCGTCCGCATTCTTTCCCCAAACAAAAAGCTGCCCATCGTCTGGTGTGATGAGCGGGGGAAGGGTGGAGAAGGGAGAAACGGAAATTGAAAGGGGGAGGGGGCAGGGGGTAGGGGGAAACTAAACTTACATGTACTGTACATTACATGTGCTGGCAAGGCAGTTCAGCATATCTACTTTATTGCTGTGCTAAATTAGCATTGTACAGTGGCCTCTGCTGGCAGCAGGTCACTTGACCGCGCTGAAAAAGGGAGGGAAATTTGCTCTGTTGCCAAAGCACCTGTCTATGCTGCAAAAACATACGGCTTTGCTGCCTTACCTGACACAGCAGCGCTCCAAGCACTCCCTGCTGCCACCCTTGCGATCTTCACTCCAGCCAATCCCGGGATGACACGTGGCACTGGCTGAGTCAGCAGCGAGTGCTGCCCCAACTGCCCGCTGCCGCCCCTCCCCCACGACCACACGCGTCCCTCGTCTGGTTGTGGGGCAGAAGGATATGGGGGAGGGGAGGGGAGAAGAGGGGACAAGGGGCGAGTATGTGTGTAAGGTACACCCCCATTGTCGCTGCCGCCCCTCCCCCACGACCACACGCGCCCCTCGTCTGCTTGTGGGAAAGGAGAAAACACGGGAGGGAGAGGGAGAGTGGGGAGGGTGGGGGAGAAGAGGAAACAGGAGGCCACTCACTCGTGAATCAATTCAGTTGTGTGGAAACCACCAGCAGCTGGCTTATGATAGCCAGCTCAGTGTGAAAATCCCTGTGGTGATGGTGGTGAGCAGGGATGGGAGAAGAGGAGGGCAATGCACACACAGTCATAGCTCAGCATCAACTCACCATCCACTCACCATCCACTCACCATCCACTGCCAAAGCATGGAAACCACTGGTGGCTAGGTGTGTAATGGGAGAGGTGATGGTGGTGATGCGAGCAGGGATGGTGGTGATACGAATGCACACCCACCCATACCTCAACATCAACTCACAATCCACTCACCATCAACTCACCATCCACTGCCAGAGTATGGAAACCGCCAGCGGCTAGGTGTGTAATGGGAGCGGTGATGGTGGTGATGCGAGCAGGGATGGGCAGACAAAAGGAGTGCAATGCACACCTCGCACACACAGTCCCTCATATATTCATTTGCTGCAACACTCACCATCCACTGCCATAGTATGGAAACCGCCAGCAGCTAGGTGTGTAATGGGAGCGGTGATGGTGGTGATGCGAGCAGGGATGGGAGGAGAGTGCAAGGCACACTCAATTGTTGCTCCACTCACCATCCACTGCCAGCGTGTGAAAGCCACCAGCGGCTAGGTGTGTAATGGGAGAGGTGATGGTGGTGACGCGAGCAGGGGTGGGCAGACAAAAGGAGTGCAATGCAATGCACACCTCGCACACACAGTCCCTCATATACTCATTTGCTGCTGCTACACTCACCGTCCACTGCAAGCGTGTGGAAACCACCAGCGGCTAGGTGTGTGACAGGAGCGGTGATGGTGGTGACGCGAGCAGGGACGAGGCCGGATGATGCTCGCCCCAGCTCGCCGTTGTGGTTCCCTGTTGGTGGGGAATGGTGGGATGAGAGTGGTGGACAAAGAGGGGCTGGGTGCTACGTGTGTAATGGGAGCGGTGATGGTGGTGACGCGAGCAGGGACGAGACCTGATGCTGCTCGCCCCAATTCGACGTTGTGGTTCCCTGTTGGTGGGAGCACGCAAGGTGGGGCAAGGTGTGGCAAGGTGGGGCGAGGTGGGGCAAAATGCTAGACACTTCCAGTAATTAATCGGAAGATGCCAGGACGAGGCGGGGTTGGTTATAAAACAGAAAGTAGCGACTACAGCTCCTAACTCCTTCCTACCGCTCCTCACCTCCCCACGTCCACACGCCACCCTCACAGTCCACAGCAGCAGAGAAGAACCCTCCGCACGCAACCAATGAGACTCCGCCACGTGGCAGGCCCTGGGACGCCGGAAACTCGACCGGGATTGGCCGAGGCACACACCCTTCTTCTCCTATCGCGTCCACTATATGGGGGATACCGAGCCTCCCCTCCCCTTCATCCCTCCCCCACGCATAAACCCTCCCAGCAGTACTTAAACCAAAAGTATGGCTCCCCCCAGCTGCTGCTGATTTAATCTCCACCCCCTCCTCCAGCCAATCAGAGGGCGCCACGTGGCAGGGGACGTCCCTCCTGGTAAACTCCCCATGCCCCAGCGCCCCGAACCCGCCATACCCCCAAGTGAACAGTTCCCCCCGCTCAGAAACCGCCAAAGAATGCAACCCGCCAGCCGCCGCGCTGCGCACTGCCGTCTCCCCCAAAAAATTAGGGTTTAGGGTTGGGGAGAAAAGGGAGATCTCGTTCCCCAGACCTAGTCTTCCGCCGTCCCCTCTCCCCCAAACCCAGAGCCTCCCGCGCAGCCAAAGAAGCGAGTGACTGATCCCGCAAGACACGCCCGCTCGTAGCTGCTCCTTAAGGCTACTAAGAGACGCGCTTCGGACCGCGCCTGTTGCTGCTTGACCTCGTGTTGGGAACCGAAGCGCGTCTGCTGCGGCGGCGACGGCGGCGGCTGCAGGGGCGGCTAGCGCGGAGATCTCAAGGGAGAGAGATTCGATTCGCCTCGGGGTCCACTCGGGATTTTCTTCTCCATGCCCCAGCTGCCCGGAATCTCCGCGGCCCCAACTCCACACCTCCAGCTGACACGTGGCATCTTTTAATGCCCTGCTGCTACTGGTGACGGTGAAAACGAGGGGAGCTCCGGTTTTGCCAGGGGCTGAGGCGCCGGGTTTCACGGCGTCAAGTGCGGGGAGAGATGACAGGCAGCGGTGATGCAGGGCGGATGGTAGCGGGGCTGCTGATATCGAGGACGATTGGAAGGTGCGAAGGAGCCCTGCGTGGCAAGTACGCAAGGCAGCGACTAGTAGCTTTGGGTTGCCGTTGGCCATATCATACCGCTAGATTTCAAGGATAAAAGGAAGAAACAAAAACGATTAAGAGAATTTAGCGACGGGGTAGTCTCGAGAATGTGTGGAAGAAGCCGTGGATGCGGCGAGGGATGCGGTGCGGGTTCCGGCGTAGGATGCGGGCTGGAAAAGTGAATGAGGCAGGGAACAAATGGCTGGAACTACATGTCAGTGATGCTCAGCGCCACTCGTTGTGAACGGTTTAGTACGGTTTCAAAAAATTATATGGAGCACTGCGGAGATACTCCCTGGATCGCTGAGCTACGATTCGTGGGCGAATGGGCTCGATGAGCTCGACGAACTTTATATGTAACCCGGCTGGTACTTATTTCGCGAGCGTCTTGTGAGCAAGGAAATGGATTCGCTGCAGTAATCCGTCAAGCAAGATCACAGTTGCTCGTCAACTAGCACTGCGAGAGTAACAAGTGGATGCTCGTCGTAATTCTGGCTGCGAATCTCGCCAATTTGCAGCTCACCACCATTTCCCAAATATTTCCCAGCTGGATGGCAAGCATGCTTCAATTTCGATAGACAAGTTTGCTGATCCATGCACTGCTGAAACAAAGCAATGGCTGCTGCATGCTTTGCCTTCTGCTCGGCGCGTTCCTGGTCCTGGGATTCCACCCAGGCCCAGGATCCACCCTTTTTCTTGCACTCAAACGCAAGGCTGGATCGCATCGCCTTCGCACTATGTACGATAATTTCCGTTCCGGAAATCCGATGATTTCATGAACGAAGGTCTTTCATCGAAAGACCTTTCACAGATTGCCCCGTAGTTTTCAATTCAGCAACCAACTAATCTCCTAGCGATCTATTTTCCGCGATGTCGAAGCTCGCGAGCGCGAGTGCGCGTGTGAAGCAGGTGCTGACAGATCCCAAGGTGCAGGCGACGAAGGTCAAGGCGCACAAGGTGAACGTGAGCGTGCTCAGAGAGATCGCCATGGGCCTGTCGCTCGGCGTCGTTGGCGGTCTGGTGTGGAAGACGCACCAAGGGAACCTGCGACGACAGACGGAAGAACTCTACGCAGGTGAGCCGTGGAGAATCTAGAAATACATTTCTCAATTTTCATATGCTTTCCCTTAGGTGACTTCCCTTCTCAAATCTCGAGGATTTCTTTTTCATTTTCAACTTAAACGGCTTGCAAGGTCAGGAAGTTTTGTGGAGACAGTAGTGGTGTGGTCCAGATCAGCCATGGTTTCCTAGAGAGGGAGAAGAGAGTTTGGTTGTAGCTTATGTACCTTCAGTCTTTGCAGATCTGACGCTCGTTGTGGATGACATTCTTCACAGGTCCCTCTCTTGTGGATCTCAAACAACCAGCCTACGTTATCAGTGTGGTTGAATGGATGCAAGTTCAAGCACATTCTGAAAAGCTTTTCCGCCTTATGTTCTGTGCCCTTACCTTCACAGGTCTTGAGACAGGCGAGTTGAAGACTGTGTTTGATAGTTGACATAATGATGGATTTTTCCAGCACACAGCATCCCTTAGCTCCCATAAAAGGTGGTCATTTTTCTGGTGTATGTTTGTGTATAAATGCTTTAGCTCCCAGTATAAATCTCCCCGTTAGTGAAGTTGCGGAACAACATTGTAACGAAGCTGTAGAGTGTAAACGTGTGTGAGATGTTCCCGCCAAAATCAAGATCGACAGCGCGCGGAAATGCAATAGTTTCAGGTTATGACGTCAGCAGCACGCGTGAAACTGCTGTGCATGCAATCTTTTCACTTCACTGTTCGTCAGATGGCTTATTTGTTTTCTGCAAAGGAGAAGTTCCAGTAAATGTACACTTTCAAAAAGATCCAACAGTTGTGTCTTTCGTGTATCTGCTTTTTTAAAGTGTTTTACCAGCATTTCTAATTATATCACACTCGAAAGTTAGCACTGGCTGTTCTGGCAGGGGTAGCGGGCAGTGGCGCGGGGAACCTCGTAAGTGTGGCCGTCCCAGCTTCTTTGTGGCTGTGCGTAGCGGAGAGCAGTTGGCAAGGGTCCACCCTGACACACCAGCTTTTTTCCCCCGCCCCCCCCGCTCACCGTCATCCCCCTCCTTCGGCTTTTTTCCCCCTCCTTTTCTTCCCCGTCCCCACCCGTGGAGCACCTCTGGCACGTGGCGAGACCGCGCATCATAGTAAGGTTCGTCCGCCAGCCTGGGCAAACCTACGGGATTGCCGCCGCGGTTTGCTTGCTGCCCCTTCAGGTGCGTGCAGGTGATATTCCCGCGCAATCTGTGTCGCCTGACGATATAGCAGAAGCAATCGCAGCCGCACATTCGCTTCCTGAAAGCCCTCAGGATCCGTGACTTTTAGCTACAGTAAAAGAGCGCAGAATTTCGGGATTGCCATCTGTGCATTGCAGCTTGAATTTGCCGCAAGCAGCTCAAATTCCGCCAAACCGCTTAGCCCACCCTCCCCCATCGCCCTTCCCGCGCATCCCCTGCGGAAATTGTTTCGCTCCTCTTCCAACCTGATGCTCCTCAATCTGACCGCGCTGTCGCCTCCCCCAACTCCGGTCGTCCTTTCCGCATACACTTACGTCACACGACAGTCCCGAGCGCGCCGTCTTCCCCTCCGCCCTAGCGGTACAGTCACACCTGGTAGCCGGGCGGGATGTTCTTGCAACGAGCAGGCTACTTCGCTAGGTGTTCGCGCACGTCGTCACTGGCATAAGGTGATTGTAGGGTTGCAAGGTTGTAACATGTTTAACTTTTCCCAGTTACTGTGGACCAGCGTCCGTTGTTGTTTGTGCATGTTCTTAGTTACCATGAAAGCCGTCAGTGGCTTCGCGCTGCATTTCGGGTCCCTGTGTGAGACGACAAACACCACACTAACGAATCCAGCGAAGACTTCGCTAGAAATCGGTAAGATTTCGCAGCTTTTGCTGTAGAGCTTGTCTTGTGTGCCAAGGTCGAAGCGCCCTGTAAATCTGCCCGACAAAAACCACATGCCACCAAAAAAATGAGTGACTGTACCCCTTGTGACATCACCCGGTAAAACATGCAATTGTGAGTAAATTTCTAATTCTGACGAGAAAATGTTTTGTGATAAGGTGAGCATCGACTGTATCGCCCCGCTGCTCCCACCTCCGCCCATCCCCCGTTCCCCTCACACCCCTGCGGAGACTGCTGCGCATTTCAGCCCGTCTTTCCCCGCTCTACCTCCCCCCTTACCCAAACCTGTCCCCGCAACCGCTCTGCTGCCGCAGTCATCCGAGCCAAGCCCAAGGCGGGCTCCCTTTGTCGGTTGCCACGACAACGCGTGGCTCCAACATTCGAAAGCGGATTTCTCTTCAGCCCGCCGCTGCTGCTGTCTGCTGCTTGTGTTGGGTTTGGATTTTGGAACTGTGTGTAGGTTGGGTTGGGAGGTTCTTGTTTTTGTTGAGGGTAGGTTGCTCGGCAGTATTGCTTGGTTGGAGGGAGGGATTAGTGGAACGGCGAGGCAGCTTCCCATCGTCGGCGTCGGTTTTCCGGCTGTTCGGTTCGTTAAATCGACGGTTCTAGTTTTTCCCCCCGTTTCGGCTTCGCGTTACCGGCTGCGTCGAGCTAAAACGGTAACCATGTCGGCGGTCGTGCTCGACACGTCCGACGCGATTTCCACCGCGCCGCCCGTCCAAGTGCAAGTGATCAGCCAATGGGAGACGGCGCTTCAGAGCATGGTGGAGGAGAAGGTCCGCTCGTGGTACAAGCTGGCCAATCAGGGCATTTTCACGCGCCGCCGAACAAAAGGCGGGAAAAAGCACCACCACCACGACGCGCCGCCCCTGAAGCAGCAGCAGCGAGCGGGTCACCGCGATGCGGGGGAGCATCACTCCGTTAAGCACGGGGATCATCAGCATCACTCGGTTAAGCATCACAAGAAGCACCATCGAGTAGCGGAAAACGCGGCGGCTCCGGCGCATGCGGTGGATGTGCGCGTGGAGTGCGAGGAGGGCGCCGCGGAAACCACGCCGCTGCTTTCGGCGAGCCGGACGCAGCAGCTGGAGCAGAAGCTCGTCAAGGGGGAGCGGGTCCGCGCTGTCTGGTATGTGTTTTGCGCTCGGCGCAGTGCGCGGTGCAGTGCTCGCCTAATCTGCGGAATAGTAGCGCTCGCTCTTCTAAAAAGAGTTCTTAGTCTCCCAGATTCTGTCATGCTTTTTAGACAGTCACCGTTATTTGCTCGGCATGCTTTGAGGGTGTCGGCGGCACGGTGTTCGCGTTATTTGCATTGTTGTCTCGGCACGCTATGTGCTAAAGATATCCGAGAACACTTTAACGGAGGCGGTTGTCACATTGTTCTCGTCACCATTCTCATCGTCGCAGGGGCATCGTGACGGCGGCCATTGTCGTGCAGCTGGCGTGTGCGCTGACTTGCTTCCGTCTCTCTTCGTCGTCGTCACAATGTTCTCGTTGCAACGTTCTCATCCTCGCGTTCTTCTCGTCTCATCGATCTCTCTCCCTTCGCAGGGGTATCGTCACGGTGGCCATTCTCGTGGGGCCGGCGTGCGCGTGCGCGCTCTTCGCGCTTCTCTTCCCCGCGCTGCTCCCGTCCTGCCTCGCCCTCTGGGCTATCATCGAGGTACGCGCTGCTGCCTGCGCGTCGCTCGCGCGCTGCTTGCGCGCAGAGGTGCGCGCTGACGGCGCGTTGAGTGCGCTGCTTTTGAGATCTTGCGCTCCCCGCGCTGCTCTTCCCCGCCCTCCTGCCGTCCTGCCTCGCCCTCTGGGCAATCGTCGATGCGCGCGCCGCTCCCTGCGCCCTCTTTGCGCGCTGCTTCCGCTGCGAGTGCTGCGTTCGGATCCGCAACTGATGGCGCTGGCCACGCCAGCGACGAGCGCACCGATTGCGAGTGTGACCATTCATTACCAGCATCTGCGCCACCCCAGCGACCACCGCGCTGTATCCTTCTCTATCCCACTCTATCCCTCTCTATCCCCTGCGCTCTCAGGTTATCTTCGTGGCAATTCGCTACCAGCAGCTGCGCCACGCCAGCGACCACCGCCCGGAGCTCACGCTACCCTCGCTGGAGAGCGTGTCGGACCTGCTCAGCCGCATCCTGAAGCTCAAGTAAGTCGAGGCTGCTTGTAGCGAGGACAACTCACGCTGCCCTCGCTGGAGAGCGTCTCGGACCTGCTCGGCCGCATTCTCAAGCTCAAGTGAGCACGCGCTACACTTACATTTTGAATATGAATGTATGCATATATATGTCGATGCTGAAGGGGCATTGTGGATGCGCGTTACTTCTTCGAGGGCTGGTTCCACAACACGCCTCTGGAGCGACTCACCCGCGAGCACATCAAGCAGTTCATCTCCTTCCCTGCACCCACGCACGCCTTTTCCTCTGCCTCCCGTCCCGTCTCTCCATTCATCCTGCAGGGGCATTGTCGATGCGCGCTATGTCTTCCAAGGCTGGTTCCACAACACGCCGCTGGAGCGACTCACCCGCCTCTTCCTCTTCCTCTCCTCCTCTTCCTCTGCTCCTCGCCCCTCTTCACCTCTCTCTCTCTCTCTCTCTCTCTCTCTCTCTCTCTCTCTCTCTCTCTCTCTCTCTCTCTCTCTCTCTCTCTCTCTCTCTCTCTCTCTCTCTCCGCTCAGAGGCATCGTGGATGCGCGTTACTTCTTCGAGGGGTGGTTCCACAACACGCCTCTGGAGCGCCTGACCCCTCTCTCTCTCACCCACTTGTATCTCTCTTCCCTCCCTCCCTCCTCCTCCAGGGGCATCGTGGATGCGCGTTATTTTTTCGAGGGCTGGTTCCGCAACACGCCACTCGAGCGCCTCACCCGCGAACACATCACGCAGTTCATCTCGTTCGGCTTCCTTGTACCCATGCTGCTGTCTCCTTCCCTTCATCCCTTCTTCTTTCAACCAGAGGCATCGTGGATGCGCGTTATTTCTTCGAGGGCTGGTTCCACAACACGCCGCTGGAGCGACTCACCCGCGAGCACATCAAGCAGTTCATCTCGTTCGGCTTCTTCTATCGCTCATTCGAACAGCTCTCGCCCCAATACCAAGAGGCCGTGGAAGGTGGGTGGGTGCGGAAGAGGGGAGGAGTGTTCGTGTGAATGCGGGTGTGGTTGGAGGAGGGACGCGAGCACATCAAGCAGTTCATCTCGTTCGGCTTCTTCTATCGCTCATTCGAGCAGCTGTCGCCCCAATACCAGGAGGCCGTCGAAGGTGGGTGGGTGTGGGTGGGTTGGTGGGTTGGAGGGAGTGGATGTGTGAGAGGAGAGGCGGGGAAGGGTCTGGCTGCTTTGTCTCGGTCGGTTTCTTCTACCGCTCGTTCGAGCAGCTCTCGCCCGCATACCAGGAGGCCGTGGAAGGTGGCTATGTTGGGTGGAAAGAGGGGGACGGGGAGTGGAGAGACGGAGTGGGTGGGGAGAGGAGAGGGGAGGGGGGAGAGGGATGTTCTTCATCGCATTCGCTTTCTTTCTATCGCGGAGACTTTTGAGTCGACTCAAAAGTCACCTCGAGTTGGAGTGGGTGGGGAGAGGAGAGGGGAGGGAGGAGAGGGGAGGGAGGAGAGGGGAGGGAGGAGAGGGATGTTCTTCATCGCATTCGGTTTCCTTCTATCGCCTCCTTCGACCAGCTCTTTCCCCACCCACCTGTTCTCCCATTTCTCTCCCACTCTTAGCCCCCACATGGACTCAAGTTATCAAGTACGCGACATCCCATCCCATCCCATCCCATCCCATCCCGTCCCATCCTCCCCCGCTTCCTCGCGCATGACATCCCGTGCCCGCATTCTCCACGCATCATCTCCGCCTCCCCCCATCCCTTCCCCGCTCACCTCCGGCCCCTCATCTCCGCCTCTCCATCTCTACCCCGCATGCCCCCTCTCAGCGCACATGGAGTCAATCGCGCAGGTGTGGGACCTACCCGTGCTCTCCTCACACCTGTTTCCCCCCTCTTCTCCCCTCCCCCATTCATCCCCCCCTTTTCTCCCCTCCCCCCATTCATCCCCCCCTCTCTCTCTCAGCGCACATGGAGTCTATCGCGCAGGTGTGGGATCTCCCAATGCTCCGCCGCCCTTCCGCCTCCGACCTTCCCCCTTCCGCGGACCAGCAGCAGGCGCAGCAGGCAGAACCATCCGCGGAAGCAGCAAGCGCAGGTGAATCCGCGGGTGCAGCAGCAGGCGGCGCAGGTGGGGAAGCAGAAGGAGCGGGAGCAGCTGGAACAGGAGGAGCAGAAGCAGACCCGGAATCGGGGACAGTATCCTGGGCAGCGGCAGCAGCAGCGGGAGCGGCAGTGACAGCAGCAACGACAGTCGCAGCAGCAGCAGCAGCGGGGGAAACAGCCGCGGTCGAGGTGCTGGGGGAAATGGCGGAGGCTGTGGTGGGCGGAGAGGGGAAGGGCGGAGAGGGGGGAGAGGCGGAGAGTGGGGGGAAGTGGCGGAACGGCGAGGAGGGGATTGGGTTTATGGCACACACGCAGGAGCCGCTGAGGGCGGTGGTGCATCCGCTGTTTGTGTACGCGTGGGGGCACATGGTGGCTTGGCTGACCTGGATTTGCCTCGCCCTGCTAGGCTTCCGCAGGTGAGTGTTACTGGGGGGAACAGAAGGTGCGACGTTCGGTAGGGGCAACACACATGGCTGGCCGTAGGGGGGATACACACAGGAGCCGCTGAGGGCGGTGGTGCATCCGCTGTTCGTCTACGCGTGGGGGCACAAGGTGGCGTGGTTGACTTGGATCTGCCTCGCTCTCCTGGGGTTTCGCAGGCGAGTCTCTGAGTCCTTCCAAAGAGAAAACAGAGCGTGGTGTTCCCTTTCCGTGGAGGCGTGCTTTCCAGAGGGAAAGGGAACAGGAGCCTCTGAGGGCGGTGCTGCAACCGCCCTCCCTCAGGTTTGTGAGTGAGGCACACCGCACTACTTTCAGAGGGGTGTGAGTGTGTGCCCTTCAACACACATCCCATGAACCGGTGCGTGTGGGTCTGTGTCTCTGTCTCTATGTCTCTTGGTGTTCCCGTGGGTGTCTCCCTACAGGCACGTCTCCCCGTCCGGTCTGCACTACTTTCACCGGCCGGGGTGGAAGGAGCAGAAGGGAAACAAGGCGCACAAGGCAGAGGCGGAGGCGGAGAGCGGTGCAGAGGGGTACGACGCGGTGGTGTTCATCCACGGGCTGGGCATCGGCCTCACGCCCTACCTGGCCTTCATCCACATGCTGCTGGCCGCGTTTGGCTCTAAGGTGAGTGGTTATTACGTGTATGATGCTTGTGGTAGGGTATAAGGTGCTGACCTCACCCACCTCGCCTTCATCCACATGCTGCTGGCCGCGTTTGGGAGCAAGGTGAGTGCTTATAACGCGTATGAAGCTTGTAATAGGGTACGGGCACTGGCAAAGGCATGGGCGTGGGCTGGGCATCGGCCTCACGCCCTACCTCACCTTCATCCACATGCTGCTCGCCGCGTTTGGCAGCAAGGTGAGTGCACGAGCATGCTTATAGCGCGTATGGTCCTTGCAGAGAGTGAGAAAGGTGGTGGCATGCCCTACCTTGCCTTCATTCACATGCTGCTCGCCGCGTTTGCTCTAAGGTGAGTGCACGAGCATGCTTATAGCGCGTATGGTCCTTACAGAGTGTGAGAATGTGGTGGCACGCCCTACCTCGCCTTCATCCACATGCTGCTCGCCGCGTTCGGCTCCAAGGTGAAAATATGCAAGTATGCTAGTAGTAGGGTATGACGTGCTGGCCTCACTTCCTACCTCGCCTTCATCCACATGCTGCTGGCTGCGTCCGGGAGCAAGGTGAGTGATTATAACGCATCTTGTGCTTGTAGCGCGTATGATATGATGCTTGTGTTCCCTAGCCCTTCATTGTGGTCGAGCTGCCCCATCTCGCCTGTCAAATCACCTCTGTGTCCCTTCCTTTTCTCCTTACCTCCCCTCTCCCCTCTCTTCTCTCACCGCTCCACCCTCCCCACTCTCCACTCCCAGCCATTCATCGTGGTCGAGCTTCCCTAATGCTGCCTGCCATTTCAACTCTGCGTTTCCCCCTTCCCTTTCTCCCTGCCTCTTTCTCCTCCCCTGTCCTTTCCTGCCCTCCCCTGCCCTCCCCTGCCCTCCTCCCCTGCCCTCCCCTGCCCTCCCCTGCCCTCCTGTCACCTCCATCTCTCCACTCCCAGCCATTCATCGTGGTCGAACTGCCCCACCTCGCCTGCCAGCTCACCTCTGCATCGCCCACCATCGAGCAAGTGGTGAGTGCTGCACCTAGCTGTCCCCATGTGGCCCTCTCTCGTATTCCCTCTCTCATCTCTTCCTCTCTGCCTCTCCGCTCCCCACCTCGCCTGCCAACTCACCTCGGCATCGCCCACCATCGAGCAAGTGGTGAGTACTCTGCCTTGCTGCCATATTATACCCCTCTCTACCCCTACTCTTCCCCTACCTTGTCCCGTCCCTTCTCTTCATTCATCTCCTCGCCCCCGTCTCGCCTGCCAGCTTCATCCCCTCTTAAGGATATAAGAGGATATCCTCTTACCCCCACCTTATATCCTCTTGTCCTCTAGTATCCCCCCTTTTCTCTCGCTTCACTCCTCTTTGCCTCGCCCTGCCCCCGCCTTTCCTGCCACCTCACCTCCGTATTCCCTTGTTTGCGGTAGTCATAAGTGCTGTGTAGTGCTGCTGCAATCGTGCCCTTCCCTATTCCTGCTGCAGGCCGGTGCTTTAGTTGAGACGCTGTGCAAGCACGGGTACAAGCGCATGGCATATGTTGGTCATTCCTACAGCACATTCATTGCTGCCTTCCTCCCCTCGTCTACCCCCTTCCCCTTTCCCACACACACTGCTGCAGGCCGCTGCGCTGGTGGAGACCCTGTGCAAGCATGGGTACGAACGGGTGGCTTACGTTGGTGGTCACTCCTACAGCACTTTCATTGCTGCCTTCCTCCCCTCCCCTCGTGTATCTCCCTCTCCCACACACACACACACACGTTTCAGGCCGCTGCGCTGGTGGAGACCCTGTGCAAGCACGGGTACAAGCGTGTGGCGTATGTTGAACACTCCTACAGCACCTTCATTCATTGTTGCCTTCCTCCCCTCCATGTACCGTCGTGTATCCCTTTTCCCCCACCCTTAGGCCGCTGCTCTGGTTGAGTCCCTTTGCAAGCACGGGTACAAGCGCGTGGCGTATGTTGGTCACTCCTACAGCACCTTCATTGCTGCCACTGTGAGTTTTGCTTCTAATGAGTTGTGCATTTAACAAGTGGTGCTTGTAATGAGTAATGCTTGCAGCGAGTGTGACTGAAACGGGAAGGCTGTGTTCAGCTCGTGCTACCATCTCCCCTTTCTTTCATTATCCTTGCTCCCTGCCCCTCTGTGCCTGCCTCCTCCTCTGCGTTGCCTTTCATTTCCCCACACAATTCTGTCTTCCCATCTGCAGCTCGTAAGGCGCCATCGGTCCATGATAGCAGCAATGAGCATCATCGACCCCGTCTGCCTGCTGCTCTGCCTGCCCAAGTGCTGCACACGTTTGTCTACAGGTGAGTCGCTCTGTAACGAAATCGAAACAGTGTTGTTGCACTCGCATTCGTCTGCAGCAAGTGAAGTGCTTTGTACTGAGTGCAGAAACAAGCACAGAGCACAGAGTGAGCACAAGCACACGGTGCCGCAAACCCTCGACTCATATTGTTTCTTCTTTTTTTTTCTCCTCTACCTGCCATCTTTCTCTCCCACCCACTCTTCCACCCTGCCAGGCGGAGACCACCTGGCAGCGTGGATAGGCGAGGCAGTGCGCTGGGTGCTGTTCTCCTAGCGGCTACAGGTGTCTCATGCCCTTTCCCCCTCTCCTCTCCCTCGTTTGTGGCCTCTTTTCACCTTCTCTTGCCTCCCAGCCTGCCAGGAGGAGACCACCTGGCAGCGTGGATAGGCGAGGCGGTGCGCTGGGTGCTGTGCTCGCGGGAGCTGCAGGTCGCTCGCAGCATCTGCCGCGGATTCTCCTGGTGAGTAGCTGGTTGGTTTGGGCTATTGGGCTGCTAGACCAGTAGTGCGGCTAGAAGCACACATATTACTCGAGCTGGGAACTGGGCTGCTGCTGGTCTGTTGCGCTGGGTGCTGTGCTCGCGAGAGCTGCAGGTCGCTCGCAGCATCTGCCGCGGCTTCTCTTGGTGAGGGCAAGGGGGGGAGGGAAGGAGGGCGAGGGGGATTGGGCTGCTGCTGGTGAGCGTTTGCTTTTGGAGAATTCTCAAGAAACAAACGTGCTGCTGGTGAGCGGGGATGGGGTGCTGCTGCTGGTGGGCATGTGTATTGCAGTGCGCTGGGTGGGAATCACTTTTGAGAATTCTCAAAAGGGATGGGGTGCTGCTGCTGGTGTGTGGGCATGTGTATTGCAGTGCGCTGGGTGCTGTGCTCGCGGGAGCTGCAATTGGCTCGCAGCGTCTGCCGCGGCTTCTCATGGTGAGTCGGCCCCCTGTGTGTTGCATCAGTTGCGCCACTCCCTCTCCTTCCTGCTGGTATGGGATGGCATGGGCTGGTAGAAACACACGTGTTGCACTGGGTGCTGTGCTTGCGAGAGCTGCAGGTGGCTCGTAGCATCTGCCGCGGCTTCTCCTGGTGACTCTCTTGCCTCTCCCCTCTGCTTCAGGGTGCCATGGGATGCGACGGGCTAGTAGGGGCACTTGGGTTGACCCCTCTCATATCGCCCCTGTCTCCTCCCTTTCTACGCCATCTACACGTTTACCTCATGTACCTCATCTACCGCATGGCAGGCAGGAGTACCTCGCGTGGGGAGATGAGTTGTCTTCACCAGTAGCAACAAAACCAAGTGTCTTTTCCTCATATCGCCCCTGTTTCCTCCCTGTCTCTATGCCATCTACCCCATCTACCACATGGCAGGCAGGAGTACCTGGTGTGGTGTGCGGTGCTGTTCCTCCTCTCATCGCCCCTGTTGCCACCGTGTCTCTGTGTACCCCATCTACCCCATGGCAGGCAGGAGTACCTGGTGTGGGGAGATGAGCTGCCGCCCGCCTCTCTGGTGATGCTCTCAGGGGACGACCAGTTGGTGTGCTGTCTCCTTCTCAATTCCCCCCTGTTTTCCCCCTTCCTACCCCATCTACCCCATCGCAGGCAGGAGTACCTGGTGTGGGGAGATGAGCTGCCGCCTGCCTCTCTGGTGATGCTCTCAGGGGATGACCAGCTGGTGCCGTCGCCGCAGGTGCAGAGGTGAGCTTTCTTCCTTTGAGTGTACGGCAGAGGTGAGAGCGCGGGTGATGACTAGCGTGTGCTTCGTTGGTACCAGCGCCCTTGCCCGCCTCTCTCACTCTGGTGATGATGCTGGCAGGGAAGACCAGCTGGTGCCGTCGCCGCAGGTGCAGAGGTGAGTGACTATATGGCAGGGGGAAAAGCAGGGGTGAGGGAGCTCTGTTGCTGGAGGAGGCACATAGCTGCCACCCGCCTCTCTCGTGATGCTGGCAGGGGATGACCAGCTGGTGCCATCGCCACAGGTGCAGAGGTGAGCTCTCTTCCTTTGAGTGTACGGCAGGGGTGAATGGGTTCATGATGACTTGCATGTGCTTGGTTGGTACCAGCGCCGCCACCCGCCTCTCTGGTGATGCTCTCAGGGGATGACCAGCTGGTGCCATTGCCGCAGGTGCAGAGGTGGGGCTAAGGTGGTTCTCTTGTGAGCATTGCTTGTGCTACTCTGCGGAATTACTTAGCAGGAGGGTAGTAGCGGTGAAACACCGAACCGACCAGCCAAATCTACTTGTGCTCGTGCGGGAGGTAGCCTGCCGTGTGTTGCACTGATTCTCCTAGCTCTCCCCTACCCTCCACACCCCACCTACCTTCTCCCTCCCTCCTGCTTACTGACTCCTGATTTCCCACCTGTTTGTGCTGCAGCCATCTGGCTCGCCACAATGTGAATGTGATTTACAACGACGGGTTTCAGCATGTGCAGAGTTGAGAGTTCCAACTCAAAACTCTTGCAATTTTTCCTTTCTCCTTGTTTTCCTTGCTCTCCACCTGTTCTGTTCTGCCGCAGCCATCTGGCTCGCCACAATGTGAATGTGATTTACAACGATGGGTTTCAGCATGCGGAGTATCTGACAAGGCCTGATGTACAGCACAAATTCGTTATGGCGTTTGCAGCTACATGCGCCAAGGTCAGCCACAAGCACGCGAATTAAATTCGTGGTGGTTGTGCTATCTTGGTGTTCCAAGAGTTGAATGCTCTTCATTGCATGCATGTCCATATGTGATTTGTGAATTGTGGTTTTGCGTAGAAATAACTAGGGAAACTGGGGTGCAATAATCATGATTTGTGGCTTGTGCTGTTTGTTTGCCATGCTTTCATTTGCAGAAACTAACTTTCTCGTGCGTAGACGATTTGGTATGACGTCTGTAGTGTAGGTTATACTTTGATGATGACTAATGATATGCTTTGTCGATCTACACGGCCTTGGGAGCCTGACGGCAATGGTGACATGGCAGGCATCGTGTGGCTGAAATGGCGCCGAGCTGAACCCATGTGGTAGGGTAGCGAAATTCCCATTGGCCAGGTTATCCACATGCTCGGATAAGAAGTGAAAGCATTCGCGCCGCTTGAAACTTCCAGGCGGCGGACACCTCTCAGAACCTGACAGGGTGGAAGTCGGTCAGTCACCTTACAGAAACTTTCTGAAACGCACAACACCGATCTGTTTGTTCTGTATACCGCAGATCATGGGCGAATTCAGTTGCCTGTGCCTCTTAGTGATCATCCTGGTACTGGGCTGCTTGGTTTATGGTGTCTGGCTGGTTCAAGTTTTAATCTACAGCCGAGTAGTTTAGGACGACGGCCCGACATCAGGTCCGGCTGCCTAGAATTTAGAGATACGCCACGGATTCGTTCGTTCGCGTCAGCCATTGCCGTCTGGGTTGTTCCATTCAGGTGCTGTGCGTTGGAGATGGTTCCGCGAAACACTGTGCTGGCAAACATGGCGACCTCACGCAGATTGGATTCTCATTTGCGTTTCCCGTTCGCATTCGGAATTATCGCAGCATGGCTGCTCGTGTCGACTCACGCGGCTTCGCGAAACCCCTTTCTGACCCTGTCGGCCGGATCCGACGCCGAATTCGGCAATCGACGGTCGGTAGACGCCAAGCCGCCGGCGGTGCACGATCAGCCGTTGATCGGCATCCTGTCGCAGCCGGGAGACGGCGACGGGGGACGAGCGCCGCGAATTAACGCGAAGGAAGGTGCGATGCGAATGCGAAAGCCTGGAAAGGCAGAATCCCTGAAACCGGAACTGGCAGCAGCAGATCTAGCAGGAAACTAGTTCTGAGGCATCTCAAAAGCAGCATATCATCCAGCAGGAAAGATGAAAGACAGAAGCTTGTGCCGTACATGGCTGCTTCGTATTTGAATGGGATGAAGTGGCTGCTTCTCATCGCTGTCCCATGTTCACTGCTATTTCGCATTGTCATTTCTCACTGCTCTCTGATTCCTCCCTTTCCTCTCTCTTTTATTCCCGTTCAGACCTCAACGTGTCCTACATTGCTGCGTCGTACGTGAAGTGGGTGGAGAGCGCGGGAGCGAGGCCAGTGCCGATCCTGTACGATGACCCCGATTGGCTGATCGAGAAGGTATGTGCGTATGCGTGAGTTTGTGTGCTTGCTCTTTATTGAGTACTTGCCGCCAATCCTTGGTGCCAACCCTGACTCAAGTCAAGTGGGTGGAGAGCGCGAGAGCATGCCGAACCTGTACAATGACCCCGATTGGCTGATCGAGAAGGTACGTTAGCCGTTCATAAGTAGCTCAGGTTTGGAAGCATCTATCTTGAGAATTATCCCATTGACGCTCTGTGACGAGCTTGCTCTTTACAAGAATTGGTTTCTGAGAATCCTACCAACGTGACTTTTGAGTCGTCTCAAAAGTCACCTTGAGAATCCTAACAAGATCTTGGTGCAGATTGTTTTGGGAAATTGTGTGCTGCCTCGTTATAAGCACTCGCAGGACCCTCAACGGGTTGATCTTTCTGGTACATACTTCCAGGAAAAATGCACGGTGCCAAGTTCAGGTTGTTGGACGTCGCCTCAAACAGAGGACACGCCTCAACAACACAGGTCTCATTATGTTGCTGCGGTTCCCTTCGTCAATTCTCCTTGCCCCTTCCCCTGCGATCCTTCCTTCATCCGTTTCCCTCCCTTTCCCTTCCGCTCTTCCCTCCTCCCAGAAATTCAGGGCCGTCAACGGGCTGATACTCCCAGGGAGAGGCACGGACCTGAACTCACAAGTCCAATTTGCTCCGCCGTTTCCCTCATCAGCCCCCCACTTACCCATCTGCTCTTCCCTCCTCCCAGAAATTCAGGGCCGTCAACGGGCTGATACTCCCAGGGCGGGGTACTGACCTGCTTCCAGGGCCATCCGAAAGTAGTTCTGTTTTGAGGCGTCCCAAAGCGTCTCCTTCCCTTTTCCTCCGCTCGTCCCTCCTCCCAGAAACTCCGAGCTAATACTCCCAGGGCGGGATACAGACCTGCTTCCAGGGCCATTCGACAGTTGTTCTCCTTTGAGGCGTCTCAAAGCGTCTCCTTCCCTTACCCATCCCCTCTTCCCTCCTCCCAGAAATTCAGAGCCGTCAACGGGCTGATACTCCCAGGGGGCGGCACTGACCTGGCTTGGTTCCAGGGCCGTTCTTCATCTCCTCCACTCCTCTCTTATCTTCCCGTTTCCCTCTCTTCCCTCCTCCCAGAAATTCAGGGCCGTCAACGGGCTGATACTCCCAGGCGGGGGCACGGATCTAGTTCCAGGGCCCTTCTTCTCTGCTGTGGAGAAGCTACTCAAGGTGAGACACTCACTCTTGTCCATTGCATCGCCAGCACAGTAACGTATCTTGGATCTTGTGCTGTAAGGCGCTTCAAAGCTACTCCCAGGCGGGGGCACGGATCTAGTTCCAGGGCCCTTCTTCTCTGCTGTGGAGAAGCTACTCAAGGTGAGACACTCACTCTTGTCCATTGCATCGCCAGCACAGTAACGTATCTTGGATCTTGTGCTGTAAGGCGCTTCAAAGCTACTCCCAGGCGGGGGCACGGATCTAGTTCCAGGGCCCTTCTTCTCTGCTGTAGAAAAGCTACTCAAGGTAAGCACCATTGTCTTGAATTTCGGATTTAGATGCGCCCTGAAAGCTACTCCCGGGCGGGGGCGCGGATCTAGTTCCAGGGCCCTTCTTCTCTGCTGTAGAAAAGCTACTCAAGGTAAGCACCATTGTCTTGAATTTCGGATTTAGATGCGCCCTGAAAGCTACTCCCGGGCGGGGGCGCGGATCTAGTTCCAGGGCCCTTCTTCTCTGCTGTAGAAAAGCTACTCAAGGTAAGCATCATTGTCTTGAATTTCGGATTTAGATGCGCCCTGAAAGCTACTCCCGGGCGGGGGCGCGGATCTAGTTCCAGGGCCCTTCTTCTCTGCTGTAGAAAAGCTACTCAAGGTAAGCATCATTGTCTTGAATTTCGGATTTAGATGCGCCCTGAAAGCTACTCCCGGGCGGGGGCGCGGATCTAGTTCCAGGGCCCTTCTTCTCTGCTGTAGAAAAGCTACTCAAGGTAAGCATCATTGTCTTGAATTTCGGATTTAGATGCGCCCTGAAAGCTACTCCCGGGCGGGGGCGCGGATCTAGTTCCAGGGCCCTTCTTCTCTGCTGTAGAAAAGCTACTCAAGGTAAGCATCATTGTCTTGAATTTCGGATTTAGATGCGCCCTGAAAGCTACTCCCGGGCGGGGGCGCGGATCTAGTTCCAGGGCCCTTCTTCTCTGCTGTAGAAAAGCTACTCAAGGTAAGCATCATTGTCTTGAATTTCGGATTTAGATGCGCCCTGAAAGCTACTCCCGGGCGGGGGCGCGGATCTAGTTCCAGGGCCCTTCTTCTCTGCTGTAGAAAAGCTACTCAAGGTAAACATCATTGTCTTGAATTTCGGATTTAGATGCGCCCTGAAAGCTACTCCCGGGCGGGGGCGCGGATCTAGTTCCAGGGCCCTTCTTCTCTGCTGTAGAAAAGCTACTCAAGGTAAGCATCATTGTCTTGAATTTCGGATTTAGATGCGCCCTGAAAGCTACTCCCGGGCGGGGGCGCGGATCTAGTTCCAGGGCCCTTCTTCTCTGCTGTAGAAAAGCTACTCAAGGTAAGCATCATTGTCTTGAATTTCGGATTTAGATGCGCCCTGAAAGCTACTCCCGGGCGGGGGCGCGGATCTAGTTCCAGGGCCCTTCTTCTCTGCTGTAGAAAAGCTACTCAAGGTAAGCATCATTGTCTTGAATTTCGGATTTAGATGCGCCCTGAAACCTACTCCCGGGCGGGGGCGCGGATCTAGTTCCAGGGCCCTTCTTCTCTGCTGTAGAAAAGCTACTCAAGGTAAACATCATTGTCTTGAATTTCGGATTTAGATGCGCCCTGAAAGCTACTCCCGGGCGGGGGCGCGGATCTAGTTCCAGGGCCCTTCTTCTCTGCTGTAGAAAAGCTACTCAAGGTAAGCATCATTGTCTTGAATTTCGGATTTAGATGCGCCCTGAAAGCTACTCCCGGGCGGGGGCGCGGATCTAGTTCCAGGGCCCTTCTTCTCTGCTGTAGAAAAGCTACTCAAGGTAAGCATCATTGTCTTGAATTTCGGATTTAGATGCGCCCTGAAAGCTACTCCCGGGCGGGGGCGCGGATCTAGTTCCAGGGCCCTTCTTCTCTGCTGTAGAAAAGCTACTCAAGGTAAGCATCATTGTCTTGAATTTCGGATTTAGATGCGCCCTGAAAGCTACTCCCGGGCGGGGGCGCGGATCTAGTTCCAGGGCCCTTCTTCTCTGCTGTAGAAAAGCTACTCAAGGTGACCTACCCTTGTTGCTCGTAGATTCGCCAGTAGGGGAACGCCCAATGCACCATGATACTCCCGGGCGGGGGCACGGATCTAGTTCCAGGGCCCTTCTTCTCTGCTGTGGAGAAGCTGCTAAAGGTGAAGCATTCTTGCTCATAGGATTCTTGCTCATAAGTCCCTGGTCTCTGGTCTCTGCTCCCTGCTCCCTGCTCCCTGCTCCTTCGTCCCTCGTCCCTGCTCCCTCGCCCCTCGTCCCTCGTCCCTCGTCCCTCGTCCCTCGTCCCTCGTCCCTGCTCCCTCGCCCCTCGTCCCTCGTCCCTCGTCCCTCGTCCCTGGTCCCTGGTCCCTGGTCCCTCTGTCCCTCGTCCCTCGTCCCTCTGTCCCTCGTCCCTCTGTCCCTCGTCCCTCGTCCCTGGTCCCTCGTCCCTGGTCCCTCTGTCCCTCGTCCCTGGTCCCTCTGTCCCTCGTCCCTCGTCCCTCGCCCCCGGTCCCTGGTCCCTGGTCCCTCTGTCCCTCGTCCCTCGTCCATCGTCCCTCGTCCATCGTCCTTCGTCCCTCGTCCCTCTGTCCCTCGTCCCTCGTCCCTGGTCCCTCTGTCCCTCTGTCCCTCGTCCCTCGTCCCTCGTCCCTGGTCCCTGGTCCCTGGTCCCTCTGTCCCTCGTCCCTCGTCCCTCGTCCCTCGTCCCTCGTCCCTCGTCCCTGGTCCCTGGTCCCTCGTCCCTCTGTCCCTCGTCCCTCGTCCCTGGTCCCTCTGTCCCTCTGTCCCTCGTCCCTCGTCCCTGGTCCCTGGTCCCTGGTCCCTCTGTCCCTCGTCCCTCGTCCCTCGTCCCTCGTCCCTCGTCCCTGGTCCCTCGTCCCTCGTCCCTCGTCCCTCGTCCCTCGTCCCTCGTCCCTCGTCCCTCGTCCCTCGTCCCTCGTCCCTCGTCCCTCGTCCCTCGTCCCTCGTCCCTCGTCCCTCGTCCCTCGTCCCTCGTCCCTCGTCCCTCGTCCCTCGTCCCTCGTCCCTCGTCCCTCGTCCCTCGTCCCTCGTCCCTCGTCCCTCGTCCCTCGTCCCTCGTCCCTCGTCCCTGGTCCCTGGTCCCTCGTCCCTCGTCCCTGGTCCCTCGTCCCTCGTCCCTCGTCCCTCGTCCCTCGTCCCTCGTCCCTCGTCCCTCGTCCCTCGTCCCTCGTCCCTCGTCCCTCGTCCCTCGTCCCTGGTCCCTGGTCCCTCGTCCCTCGTCCCTCGTCCCTGGTCCCTCGTCCCTCGTCCCTCGTCCCTCGTCCCTCGTCCCTCGTCCCTCGTCCCTCGTCCCTCGTCCCTCGTCCCTCGTCCCTCGTCCCTCGTCCCTCGTCCCTCGTCCCTCGTCCCTCGTCCCTCGTCCCTCGTCCCTCGTCCCTCGTCCCTCGTCCCTCGTCCCTCGTCCCTCGTCCCTCGTCCCTCGTCCCTCGTCCCTCGTCCCTCGTCCCTCGTCCCTCGTCCCTGCTCCCTACTCCCTGCTCCCTGTTCCCTGCTCCCTGCTTCCTAGAATCCAACGGTGCAGGGGTTTACTTCCTGGTTCAGGGCACGTGCATGGGCATGGAGGCATGGAGAGGGATGGGCTTGGGCTCTCATATCCATCATCCACTAACCCTTGCATTCTCTCTCTCCCTGCTTTGCTTGCTCAGATGGCCCTGGCAGCCAGCCAACGACGCAGGAGAATACTTCCCCGTGCAGGGAGGGCACGTGCATGGGCGTGGAGGCTGAGGTGGGGTTGCGAGATGCCTCAGAACCTCCCTCTCGTTCTCTTGCGTGCCTGTGGCCCATGATCCCATCCTCTGCTCACGGATAGCCCTGGCAGCCAACGATGCGGGGGACTACTTCCCCGTGCAGGGAGGGCAGGGCACGAGCATGGGCATGCATGGAGACTGAGGGGGAGTTGTGAGATGACTCAGAAAGGCCCACAATCCACCTGTCTGTGTCCCACCGTCCATGCTCAGATGGCCCTGGCAGCCAACGATGCAGGGGACTACTTCCCCGTGCAGGGCACGTGCATGGGCATGGAAACACTCACGATATTCTTCAGTCAGGTGGGTGACGGGAACGAGCGGGAGATGATTGCTGGGAGATGAGTGCTGAAAACTAGTGGGGAGTAGTATGCTAGAAAACTGAGTACTAGCTGTGAGTACTAGATGTTGGGTTCTATTCCTCTCCCTCACGGAGAACTAGTGGGCGACCTATACCCCCGTGCAGGGCACGTGAGTGGTTAGCTGGAGAACGTGAGTGCCAAACCGAGCTGTTCTATTCCTCTCCCTCACAGCCATGTTGGGTTCGAGTGAGTGTCCTATCCTTCCGTGCTTGTTTTTCACCTGGGCGATTGTTGTCCCACTCTCTCCCACTCCTCCCCAGTCCCCACTCCCCCTCACCCTCCCACTCCCCTTCTATCCCCCACTCCCCCTCACCCTCCTACTTCCAACCATCCTTCCACATCCCTCTCTTTCTCTCAGGATTTCGACATTCTCGAGACCAAGGCGTTCGCAGCAGGGGACAGCCCGGAGGCACTCAGGTTCACCGACCCTCCGACATCCCCTCACTTACCCGTTCTCCTGCACCCTCCCACTCCTCCTCAACCCCCCACCCATCAGGATTTCGATATTCTCGAGACCAAGGCGTTCGCAGCAGAGGACAGCCCAGAGGCGCTCAGAAGCACTCACCCTCCCACATCCCTTCACTCACTCGCTCCCTTGCCACCTTCCCTACCCTCCCACTCTCTCCCACACATCAGGATTTTGGAATTCTTGAGACCAAGGCGTTCAACGCAGAGGACAGCCCAGAAGCGCTCAGATGCACTCACCCTCCCACATCCCTTCACTCACTTGCTCCCTTGCCACCTTCCCTACCCTCCCGCTCTCTCAGGATTTCAATATTCTGGAGACCAAGGTGTTCAACGCAGAGGACAGCCCAGAGGCGCGCTTCACCATCCCACTTCCCCTAACTCACTCACTCCCCCCACCATCCCACATCCCCTCCTTTCACTAGGATTTCGACATTTTGGAGACCAAGGCGTTCAACGCAGAGGACAGCCCATAGGCGCTCAGATTCACCAGTGAGGAGGCCAAGAAGCGAGCCACTCCCCCTACCCCTCCCTCACCCTCCCACTCCCTCACACTCCTGCTCACTTCCGCACCTCCTCTCTCACTCTTCCCTTCCCCTTTACCACACACGCATCAGGATTTCGATATTCTCGAGACCAAGGCGTTTGCTGCAGAGGACAGCCCAGAAGCATTGAAATTCACCAGTGAAGAGGCCAAGAAGCGAGCTTATTTCAGCTGGTGGGTTCGCTTGCTTTTATCAGCTGGCTGTTTTTAGGGTGCCTTGATACCGGAGGACAGCCCAGAGGCGCTCAGATTCACCAGTGAAGAGGCCAAGAAGCGAGCCTATCTCAGCTGGTGAGTTTGCTTGCTTTAATAGCTGGCTGTTTTAGGGTGCCTTGATACCGGAGGACAGCCCAGAGGCGCTCAGATTCACCAGTGAAGCGGCCAAGAAGCGAGCCTATCTCAGCTGGTGAGTTTGCTTGCTTTAACAGCTGGCTGTTTTAGGGTGCGTTGATACCGGAGGACAGCCCAGAGGCGCTCAGATTCACCAGTGAAGCGGCCAAGAAGCGAGCCTATCTCAGCTGGTGAGTTTGCTTGCTTTAACAGCTGGCTGTTTTAGGGTGCGTTGATACCGGAGGACAGCCCAGAGGCGCTCAGATTCACCAGTGAAGCGGCCAAGAAGCGAGCCTATCTCAGCTGGTGAGTTTGCTTGCTTTAACAGCTGGCTGTTTAAGAGTGCGTTGATACCGGAGGACAGCCCAGAGGCGCTCAGATTCACCAGTGAAGCGGCCAAGAAGCGAGCCTATCTCAGCTGGTGAGTTTGCTTGCTTTAACAGCTGGCTGTTTTAGGGTGCGTTGATACCGGAGGACAGCCCAGAGGCGCTCAGATTCACCAGTGAAGCGGCCAAGAAGCGAGCCTATCTCAGCTGGTGAGTTTGCTTGCTTTAACAGCTGGCTGTTTTAGGGTGAGTCGAGAGCAGGGGACAGCTCTCGACTCTGAAGCGCTTAAATTCACCAGTGACGAGGCCAAGAAGCAAGCCTACTTCAGCTGGTGAGTTTGCAATTCGTGGTGACTTTTCAATCGACTCAAAAGTCAGCAAGCTTACTTCAGCTGGTGGGTTTTCACTTCTATGGAAACATAAGACAAGCTCTCCTGGTGCCTAGAGAGCCTAGGACATTTGTTGAGTAGAATTACAGCAAGAAAAGCCCAAAACACTTTTGTTGAGCGAGGGTACTTCTGGCTCGTCATAGTAGAGCTTCTAGCCTTGTTATGACCACTTCTGGTGCACTTCTGATTCCACAGGATGACTCCCGATCTGCTGGACCACATTCAGAAGGAGAAGATCACCATGGAGAATCACGAGGTGAGCTTATATCGTGTACATTACCCCCACAGCATGGTGGGTTGTTCAATGCGCAGTATCCTAGTAGATGGATCCCCTTGCCCTTCCCCCTTGCCCCTCCCCCTTGCCCCTCCCCCTTGCCCTCCCCCTTTCCATTTTCTCCTCACACTTGACCCGCCTCCTTCCGCTTCCCCCAACCCCACATCCCCACCTCCCTCCCGCTATGCTTTCTTGTACCTTTCTCCATGGACCCGCCCCTTAATTTCGGCATTGCTTTCTTGCTTTCCCTGTTATTGTCACTGATTTTCCCTTACAATCACCTCTGCTCCAATCCGATCGACTCTGTTCCGTATTTGATCTCCTCTTCTCCATTATAATCACAGGATGGCACCACAGTGAGCCGATTCCTCTCCAGCAAGCGTCTGAGGGAGTTCTTCCGCATTCTCACCACCTCGGTCGACAGAAACTGCACTGTGAGGAGCTGCCTCCTCCTTTTCCTCCTCCTCCTCTCTCTTCTTCCTCCTTTGATTTATCTCCTGCCTTACGCGTTCTCGCCACCTCAGTGGACAGAAACGTCACTGTGAGTGAGCTGCCACGTCTCTAATGGTCCCTCACTGAATAGATCGGGCAATACAGCACAAAATAACGGCAAGTACACTCTGCCACATCCCCATCCTCCTCCTCCTCCTCCTCCTCCTCCCCCTCCTCCTCCTCCTCCTCCTCCTCCTCCTCCTCCTCCTCCTCCTCCTCCTCCTCCTCCTCCTCCTCCTCCTCCTCCTCCTCCTCCTCCTCCTCCTCCTCCTCCCCCCCCCTTCTCTTTGTCATCCTCCTCCCTCTTATCTTTGTCATCCTCCTCCTTCTCTTCCCTCCCCTCTCCCTTTGGTTTAGTTACTCTTCTCCTCCTTCCTTCCTCCATGTGCTTTCCTTCTCTTCCTTCTCCTCCATGTGTGTGTTGCAGGAATACGTCACAACCATAGAAGCACGGAACTACCCTATCTATGGCACGCAGTGGCATCCAGAGGTGAGGCAATGATAGGTGCCTTCGACACGGAAAGTAGTAACAAAATGTGAAAGTCTGCTGAGGCACGGAACTACCCTATCTATGGCACGCAGTGGCATCCAGAGGTACGGCAACGAACCTTTCCCACAACACAGGCAGGCAAAAAATCAGAACCTGCAGAGGCATGGAACAACCCAGTCACACCTCAAAATATTGATTGGCTCAAATGTCATGCGGTTTCCCTGTTACTATGAAGTTGACGATTTCATGTCACTGGCACGTCGTGACAATTATTTGATCGCTCACTCTGGTTCCCTCCCTCTTTCCCTTTTACCCCCCTCCACCCTCGCCCTCTGTAACCGCCCTAAACAGAAAGCGGCCTTCGAGTGGAGACTGCCGCACATTCCCCCATCCATCAGCCACTGTACCCTAACCAAGTTCCGTCTTTCCCTTTCCCACCCCCAATCCTCTATCTCTAATGCTACCCTGAACAGAAAACGGCATTCGAGTGGGGGCTACCGCACATTCCCCACTCGGCACACGCTGTGGCTGCCTGCCAGGCCACCGCCAACTTCTTTGTTAAGTAAGTCTCTTACATAACACCCTGTTGAATCACCACTACCGTGTTGGGGTGTGTGTGTTTGAGTCCTATTCATGAGTCTGTCTCATAACATGCAAATGTGGTTCTCTCTACCGGTGCCACATCATCAGTGTCACTATAAGCAAGCGTCCATGTCATGCTTTTGTCTCTAAGTTTCCCATTCTTGCCATGCCATGCCATGCCATGCCATGTGATGTGATGTGATATGATGGATGTGATGTGATTACAGTGAAGCCCGTCGTTCCACGCATCGCCCCGAATCGGATGAGGAGATGGATGAGATGCTCATTTACAACCATGCTCCCATGCTATACCATATCATCTCACATCATGTGATGCGTGTGGCTACAGTGAGGCCCGTCGCTCCGCACATCGCCCCGAGTCGGATGAGGAGATGGATGAGATGCTCATTTACAACCATGCTCCCATGTTATACCATATCATCTCATATCATGTGATGCGTGTGGCTACAGTGAGGCCCGTCGTTCCACACATCGCCCCGAATCAGATGAGGAGATGGATGAGATGCTCATTTACAACTACGCTCCCATCTTCTCGGGCAAGAATGGGTGAGCATGGGTGGGAAGCGGTTGAGTAGAGGCGTTGGGTGCTGAGAGTGAGATGTATTAGAAGCTTTTTAGCAACCACGCTCCAATATTCTCCAGCATAAATGGTTGAGCATGGGCGGGAGACGGTTGAGGGGCACCTGATGGGGAATTGGAGGGTACTTAGGAGGATGGAGGGCACTTGAGGTAATGTTTCGAGGGCGCTTGAGGGGGCACTCGAGAAGGAGTTAAGGGCAGTTGATGGGGAATTGCGGGGCGTTTGCTCCCTCGTTTTTTCACACTTTCGTCCAATCACCCCTCCTCCCCTCCCCCCCCCCCCCCCCCCCCCTTCCGTCCCCTAATCACAGGAGAGGATTTTTCGAGCAGTCTTACATTTTCAGCAAGGCCCCTGCAGCTGGTGTCAACTAGAATTCCCAGGATAGTGATATACAGGAGCTTAATGCTGCTCGTTTGGTCATATGGCGTCAAATTCTGTGACAAGATTTTGTTGAAGTTAACAAATCCAGAGTTGGTACAAAGTTGCAAATTATCTTTCTCATCTAGTTGGCACAAACCGCAGTTTTATGTTTAATGTGACTGATGTACACTCGACCCAGATTTGGGGTATTTTTCTGGTCGGTGGTTGGTTCCACCTTATCGCCCGAGTCGCAGACGAGCCACTCGAGGCGTGCGACAGCGTCTGGTTGGTTGGGTCACGTAAGCTGTATATCGTGAGCCCCATTGTCTGTCGCCTGCGACATATGTCGCAGGACGTGGCTCTGCTTCGGCAGCAGGCTTGGCGCCTCCGAAGCTGACCGCCAGAACGAACGTCTCGCCCTTTCAGAAATGCACTCCCAGTCTTGCTGACGTGGAGGTACCGTAATGGCCCATTACGCGAACCGTACAGTACATTGGAAGCACGTGGTCGGCTACCTCAGCGAAGGGGTGCCGCGTTTCGCCCAAGCGCGCTTCGCTTCCCCAACAACACCCACAAAATTCCAAGCACGATTTGGACCCGCGTTGACTCTAGGAAATTCGACGTGCGCACACATTGCGCCTCGAGGCGAGGGCATTTCTCTCGCACACATTGCGCCTCGAGAAAGGGGCCTTTCTCTCGCTTGCCCCCACTACTTCCCTTCCTTCCCTTCCCCTCCCTGCTCCCACGTCGCTCTTCCCTGCTCGACCCCCACCGTGCTTGGGAATGCTTTGCATATCGCCGCAACGAGCAGAATTACCTGTCCCTCCCCTCTCGCGTCTTGGTCCAGCTTGGTCGTGTCGTGATTCTAATCGTCGTCACCTTTTGCCTGGACCCTCTCCTCTTTCCGCGATCTCTCCCATCCGTGTGATTGTAAAGTGTTGCACCGACTGGCCTCGTTTTCGATAGAGTGGATACCGTCAGTTTTCCTTTTCAGTCCGCGCTGTCTCGTGAAGCGCACACTAGCCGAAGTCATAAGCCCGACGGCTGACCTCAGGCTCACCGTCCACAGTGCCTCTGCTCGTAAACCTAACAAAACGTTAAAAGGCAGAGTGATAGGGCCACAGTCACGATAGAACCAAGTCAGAGTGACAGGCCCGTAGATTGATATTGGGGAAAGTTTAGCCCCGCTTGTGCCACTCGGAGTTTACCACACACTTCGCTTGAAGTCAACCTTCTGGCCACCTGCGCTGTCCACGGAAACGCTAGCTTTCATACTTCTCTCGGATGCGGTTATTTCTACCTAATCGATTCTGACGTGCCTCACAAACATTGTCCGCGGAAGCTCAAGCTATCAGGCTTCTTCTGAATCGTGTTTCTCTACCTTCTTCCTACTGATTCCCGATCCGTTTTCTTCCGCGTTCTCGCCATGAGGCTGCAGCTCCAGCCGCTGCTGCTGCTGCTCCTCGCTGCTCTCACCCTCTCGCACCATCACTTACGCGCCAAATGCCATTCACCCACCGCCGATGCCGGCGTAGTATCTACCACCGAGCTGTCTCCGCAACATGGAGCGGAGCAACAAGCGGAGGGTGCACCTGGGGGAGGCCTGCGCGGCCGTGCCTTGCTTGACGCTGAGATGCCGTCGCTTGCGGCGGCGGTAGCGGCGGCGGCGGAAGGGAAGAATGCTTCCGCGCTCGACCTGCTTTTGCGCCGACAGCTCAAGTGAGTATCCCCTCCAATTGGCACTGTGGTAACACGCCTGGTAACATCTTCATTTTAACACGAGTATTTTTGTGGGGTTCTGTGTTCATGAATAGAAAGGGTTGCATTGAATTGCAGCGTTGAGTGTTTGATCTCATCGTTTCCCCCCCATACTCCCCCTTCTCCGTTTTCATCCGTTCGGATCCGTTCCTTTTCCTCCCCTCCCACTTCCCTCCCACACAGGGCTCGCAAGGAGGACCCCGTTCTAAGCATGCTCGCTGACGCGTGGCACAACATGCTGATCGCGCAGTATTGGGCGAAAAAAACGGCATGCGGCACGAAGCTGACCGCCGCGTGCAAAGCGCTTCAGAGCGCGGAGGGATACCTCAAGGCCAAGAGGAACGCCGAGGCAACCGCGCAGATGAAGAATGCCAAAGCCACAGCCAGTGTACGTCCAACCCTCCCTCTCCTCGCTTCCTTTGTGGCGTCATTCTTTCTCAACGCGGACTTGCAAACTACGCGAGCGACGTACCCACCCATTTTCTGTCACCTGCACATGTAGCATTTCCCCTATTCCTGCCACGACCTTTCCTGCTCGTGCTTCAGTCTCCCGCCCTTTCCCAACCCCCCCCCGCCCCCTCTCTTTCCCCCCCCCCCCACCCCCCCCCCCCCCCCCCCCCCCCCCTTGCGCAAAAACGTGTCACCCCATATTCAATGTCCGCTGTTGCCTTGCGCGTCTCTCCATCCCGCCTTTCAGGGTTGCGCGAACAGCGTTCCTGCCCAGTCGGCGAAGTATATTCGCCTCGCTAAGGACCAGATCGGGCAGACCCAAATTCTCATGCGAAGAAAAATCCTCAGGTCAAGCGAGTCAAGAATCGCAACCCGAAAATCAAGCGCAACACCGGGCCTGGTTGGCTCGGACACAACGATGTGCCGGGGGGCATCATGCAGTGGTTACCCTATGGTAACCCGATTGACGACTGCTGGATGGGCGGGAACTGGAACAGTAACATTAAAAAGCTCGCGGATTGCGTGGAGGGGTACGCGTCGGGAACAACTGGCGGGAAGGCGGGGCAAATCTACCATGTGACTACAGCGGATGATAACCGCCTGAACCCTGCCCCTGGTACCCTTCGATATGGCATCACCAGGGTAAGAACGCATAAACCCAAATTTTTACATCCAGTGTTCTTTCTAGTCTTCGTGTTTCCATCGTTTTTCACTTGCCAGGCAGACAAGTCACGTCCCGTTTGTGGCGTGTTTTTGTTCTATTCTTTTTAATTGTTGATTTTGGCTCCACCGTTACTATCCCGCCTTATATATTCGCCTTTCCGGTTCATCACAGGCTGAGCCGCTGTGGATCGTTTTCGATGACGATTTCACGTTCACTGGTCTGAGTGCGGAAATGATTATTTACAAGGACAAGACAATCGATGCGCGTGGCAAGAAAATCGTGGTGGGCAGCGGACCGTGCTTCGCGGTTGAAGAGGTTTCGAACGTAATTATTCACGGAGTCTCTTTCGTCAACTGCAAAAACAGGGTGTAAGTTACCCAAAAATGTTTCTGTCGTTCAGTCAATTGCACTTCCGAGACGCGTATTTGTTCATCGAGTTCACACATTCATAACACAGTAACTGTATCTTCCATTACAAATGCTTTTGGCTCACCTTTACTCGTTTGTGGATGCGTTTTCAGAAATAACATCAAGATTATGACCGGACCTGGCAATACGTTGGATGGCCGCGACTACCTTAACGGATACGGAGTGTACGTTTACAAGTCGCACCACGTGTGGATTGACCACTGCTCCTTCAACTACGCGGATGACACGCTTATTGACATCATCGAGGGCAGCACCGCCATTACCGTATCGAATTCCTACTTCACTAACCAGGATAAGGTATGCATACCATGAATGTGGTTTGAAGGCGATGGGGTTTGGCTGAGAATGGAAGGGTTAGTATGGGACTTGGGGAGAAGGCACCGGGTTATCTGTTGGGGAGATTTTTTTGCCTTTCCCTCACTCCCCCTTCCCTCTTCCTCGAGCCTCTTCCACGTTTTCCGTGAAACTAGAAATGCAATGGCCCGCTTCTCCCGTTCCCCGCTCGTCCCGACCTTCCCTAATCAGTTTCTCTTTCCCACCCTTTTCTCACCCCCTACTACCGTCTCCCCCCCATTGCCCCCGCACATATGGTTCTTTAGGTGATTCTGATGGGCCACAACGATGCTAACACCATGGACAGGAATATGCGCGTCACTGTCATGCTCAACAAGTTCGGCCCGAACCTGGACGAGCGCATGCCACGTGGCAGGTTTGGCACGTTCCACGTGGTGAACAACTACTATCCCAACGGCTGGGGAATCTACGCCATTGGCGGCAGCGCTGACCCAACGTTTCTCAGCGAGGGGAACTACTTTGTGGCCACTGGCGGGAAAACTGAGGTAAGGATGCTTTGAGGCTCAATTGCTATACAGCTTTTTTGAAACGGGTGCTAGTGCTAGCCATGGCACAATTCTGCTCCCTCCCCTCCCTCCCTTTCACCCTCCCTAACCCACTGACGCCTGCTTTCACTCGCTCACAATGATGATGCTCCTCGTATTCACTGCTTTCCCCGAATTCTCAACCTCTTCCTTGTTTTCATAATGTGTTTCTGGAACTACACAGGTGACGAAGCACGACATAGCAGCAAGCAAGAGCATGTGGAGTGGGTGGGACTGGCAGTCCGTGGGAGATTACTTCGCGGGTGGGGCTTTCTTCACGGAATCTGGAAGCCCTGGCTACCGGCCACCGTACTCGTATCAGGCTCTCAAGGCTATAGAGGTTCCTCGTGCAACAAACCGTGCTGGACCAATTGGGTTCTGAGCACCTAGGTTTGGTAGTTGGCGACCATGCTTCTTCTTGACTGATAAAAGTAGCGTATTTAGGAAGGGCGTCTTGGCTTCACTGCTTATGTTTTCTATTTTGTTACTGAATTTAACTTTCATGTATATCTATACTGTGGAATGAAACCGGAGGCATGTAAAATAGTTTCTTTAACTTGAATTTATGGGTTGAACTGTAGTTGACAGTAAGCTGGTGCGCATGGAGCCATGAATGAGTTGTTTGGCTGACAGGAAAAAACTATGTCAGCATGAAAAAAACCATCAAAACAAACTCATTTCGCCTGAACAAGAGCGCAGTAAATACATTTGGATGCAAATGCACACAGCACTTACAGTTGCTTGCTTGGCAGCATGAGCAGCGTGGCAGCAACCACACTCTGGCAACACCCTGTACATTGGCTGTTCTTCTATTCTAAATTTCCACGGTTTGGGGTGGGGGAAACGGAGGTGCTATTACGCTAGTTTGTTCTAGCATGCTGTCTGCATCCCAGAGGAAAGCCGCATGGGCTGCGAGGACATAGCTGCAAGGAGCAAAGAAAAGGAAATATAATAAAAAGGTTTGTCAGTTGTTGGCACTGGACTGGTTTGGGCTTCCATTGATTTCATTAACACTTGGTACAAGTGCGGACATTCTGCTTACCAGTTGTCAGGAGACACTTCAACTGCCTGCTGAAACATCGATGAAGCTTTTCGGCGTCACACATTCCTTCCCAGAGAAACTTCGCGTATAGCACCAGAAGTTCACCGTCAGTTGGTGCTGCTTCAGTGGCCTTCTGGAAAACAGCATCTGCTGCAAAATAGTCCCCTTTCACCTAAATGTCAGGAAGGGCACAAAAACAGTCAGTTTCCACTCCATGGGTAATTGAAGTGCAGCAACTACCGGTACCATACCATAACCAGGTGAAAATTATCAGAGTGCCAATCCAGACTTACCTCATAAAGAAACTGGGCGTAGTTTCGGAGGAAGAGGGCATTGCCTGGGTCCTCCTCCAGCGACTCTCGGTACAAGTCATCCATCTCTTGCACTTTGAGCTCTTCTTCAGGCGAACCGCCTAGGTGATGCCGAGGCAACATCGGCTTGCTGCAGAAGCAAACCGAGCCAACCTCGCACTCTCCAGACTGCGGAAGATATTCAGGAGCTTGCTGGGGATACGCAGGTGAGGCTCTGTCAGGCATAGACCTGCCGGAACCCATCCATTCGCTGGGTCGATTCTCAGCGTCTTCGGTCCATATGGGACGGCATCCATGAGCGTTGCACGCAACAGTCATGCCACCGGGTCCGTGTGCAATCATGGTGTAAAGCTCTCCATCCACACGCTCCGAAACAGATGATGATTGTTGGTTACGTTCCACAGGACGGACGGGAAAGTCCGATGCATTGTCAGGTCCCAGAGACGATGCACCGTCATGGTAATTCAAGGACCCCAGCCACGGCTCGGTGTGATTGTCTCCAGGAAGGAAGCTGGGAAACAGAAACCCTGGAGATTCCATGCAGGTGTACACGGAAGCTGGAGCGACGAACACAAGAGGAGTTGAAGAGGACAAGTTCGGCTCGGGATACATGGACATTGAAGCTGCATCTTCGGAGCAGCCTTTCAGATCTGGCCTTCCCCATGGTCCATGACTGTGCAGCAGGTTACTCTCCGTAGCTCCTGAATTGATCACACTTCCTCCTGAAGCTTCGTCCGGGTCTTTCATGCTGGTAGCTCCGAGTTCAGGCGGCGGCGATGACAGGCTGCTGAAACCTGAATAAGGTAGGCCAGATGTTGATAAAATGGGCGACGGCAGATCGCCTGCATCCATTGACGGCGACGCGGAGCCTGGGAGATCCATTTCTGACACCGTACGGTAACGCAGCCGTTGTTGGCTTCCATGGTGTCTGATTCTCTTGCAGATAGCTCCCGATTACGGATTTGTGAGCCTTGAGGCACGGAGAACGATGATGACACAGGAGAAGGTGTCGAAGCCCAAGTACCCTGAGAAGCTGCTGGGCAGAAAAAGCCGTCTTCGTGATGAAATGGGTCCAGGGACATTGACGTGGACGAACGGTGGAAGCCTGAAGACGATCGAGGGCTGAAGCACGGACTTCCCATGGATGTTTTGGACGAGGCGTAGGACCTGTAAACTCGACAGCTGGACGACTTTGCCGATTCTGGGGTCAGCGTCCGAGATCGCGGGCAAAACGGGAGCAGAAACGCTTCTTGCCAGAATAGCGTCAGCCATGGTTGCACGGCTCGTGCTCGCAGACTCCAATTATGTTGATACTAATCTGGTAAGATCATTCGCAACGGAACTGCGAGCGGAAATGAGTCCTTATAGGAAGGAGAAGCCGCAGACCCAAGAAACAGAACGGCCTGCTTCGCCAGCATATACCCTCTATGCCGTCGGAACTCTCCACTAAGCAATCCTTGGGAGTGTGAGGTATCAGGAAGGAGTCCTGAAAACGATAGCCTGAGGTGCTTGACGACTGCGTTCGGCGCACTTTAGTAAAGATACGCGGCCTTCCGTTCATTCTAAAAACTAGACGATTGGGCAAGCACTGTTTCAAGAAAATCTACCCCTATTCGTCTTCCAACGGTGCTGAGCTGTCACCATGGCTGCTGCTGAATGCTCCCAATAAAACCGCCATGGGCTATGGCCATGCCATACATAGTTTGGAAGCACTACAACTCTGTGACATGACAAATGCTTTCTGCTTCATTCTCACATCACCACATTGGTCCACATTGGTTCTTCCGCGCCCTGCATTTGGTGGAGTTTTTCCGCGCACCACATGACGTGAGTGGGGGAATTTTCCAGGGATTCTCCCCCAATTCCCCCACGCCCAAAAGGGTTTCAGCCCTAACCTCCCCTCCCGAGCCACCATTGACCAGCTCATCCAGCCGTTCGTCCACTTCAGCAGCAGCTGCATCGACGTCATCCGTTCATTCTGCCCCGAAGCAACCTTTGCCACATTCTCTGCCCAGAGCAGACTGCCACATGTTGTCGTCGTCTCGACTGCCCTTTTTGCTGCCTGACCAAGGACCAGTTGAAAACCGTTCAAGCTGGTCGGGTCTGGGCAGCCCGAATGCCAACATCACTCCTTTGTTTGGGGCCACCAGCACCACACGTGGGCAGAGTCATACCAGAGGGCTAGAGTTCCCACACCGCGCTGGACAATGAGTAAACAGCAGGGCAGAATGGACGAATCACGAAAATTCCCACTGAGGTGTCGGAAGCGGAGATCCCTACAACCGGAAGGAGACTCGATACGGGGAATGGTGACAGCGTGGCAAGCCTGCGACGGCCGATTGGAAGGAAAAGGAAATTCCGGTATCCAATAAAACTGCCCATTTTGCGGGGTCCATGGAGTGAGGTCATCAACTTGATCCCAAATGACGCTGGTCAATTCAGGAAAGTGGAGAAAAGTCGAGCATCCCTGCTGACCTGGTGACAGCTGGTTTGTGGTTCCCATTTCCTTATTCCCCTCCCACCCTCGCTGGGGAGCGGGGAGCAAGTAGGCGGAATCGTCTTGGTCCCCGCGTTTCTGGAGATCCCCAAGCCGCTGAGGGGCTCGATGCCACAAAGCGTTTGCAAATTGTTTTGGCGAACGTACCGCGACTCCCGTCTTCCAAGCTTTTCGGAAGGCGTGAGCTGGAACTTGTTGGCAGTTCCCAAGGCAGCATAATGATTACCCACGTGAACAGCAGACAGATTTCAGCGTGAGCAATGTATTCCCACAATAAGAATATGCAGTAGCAGTGCGTCCTACACAGGTGTAGGTAGATATTCCTATACTAACCATGTGAAGGAAAACACCCCTAAAGCTTGGCCTAGCGCAGTTCTCTGGGAAACCCCCACTGTCCTATTTGCTCAGTATTCATTTTCTACTTTGCTGCTGAATTGCTAGAAACTTGTGATACTGTTGCTTAGATGACATATCAGTGCAACTAAATGCTACACAACCCTACATCCTACATCATCACGGTAACTTGTCATTCAAACGCGTGCTTCATTTGTAAAGGAGTCCCTCATGGCCTCAAATAGATAGAATGACTCGCGCCATTGCCTCTTGACAGCCCAGAGCGCTCACCTACAATGAGGTGAAGTCAGCATGGAATATAAAAGATAGTCAGGAAAGTATGTTACATATTGTGAAAGTGTACTTAGGCTGACTGGCAAAGGCAGCGTTATCATTTCATATGGATTGTAGTACATCGTTCTCGTCTTATATAAATCTACATAACAGCATACACAATGGGTGGGCGGGTGGGAAATTAGAACTACAATTTTGAAAATGAAAACGTGGGTGGGGACGAATGTCCCCACGTCCCTCTTTTGTAGGCAAAAGAGGGTGAGTAGCGCTTCGGCGCTACCTTTGCTGTGTTGGCCACGTACCCCTTTTCACAATACAAAATTTTAGAAAGTGTTACATTTCATTACACTTTCAAAAATTATCATATTGTGAAAGTGTACTTAGGCTGACTGGCAAAGGCAGCGTTATCATTTCATATGGGTCTTCTGAGGCAAGTGCAGTCGGGGCTGGCGGTGTCGTTCGATTGACAGCTGATGCGTAGCGGGCGAGGGAGCCGTCGAAGGATCCTGCAATTGCGTAGGACGGAGATGAGCTGATCCTGCGCGATTGTAACGTACATCTCCTTCGCGCTGTCGCTGCGCCATCGGCCCATGCGTTTGAAGAGCCGGTCGCGAACTCCGAGGCTTGCCGCCGCCGTGGCTGCGCCTTTGCGGAATGAGTGGGTTCCGATGTGCGCGACATCCAGTCCAGCTTGCCTGCCGGCCGCGAGGCACCAGTTTCTGATCGTAACGTAGGATGGTGATTTGTCGTTCGGTGTGGCTTGCGAGTTCTTCGGGAAAACCCTTATCAGCGGTCCATGTGGCACCTTTGTGAGGCCTGCGATGTGTATAAATGTGCGCGTGCACCTCACCGGGCAGTATGGGCCTGGAATTGCTGTCACTGGTATCCAGACTCCCCTCCCCTCC